AAAAATCTACGGAAAAGTTATGATCGAAGAGAGAACGAAATAAAATAAGAAAACAAAAAAAATCAATCTTGAGAACTTTGAGGAAAAAAACAAATCAATTTGAACTTAGATGGCTTGGACTAACCAAATTAAGTCGTTCCTTTCACGGTCCGCCGCGGCTGTGTATCTTTCTCCTCTACCCTAATTCTATACTAGGCATTTTTTCGGATCCGATCGCGTGAGACCCACGTTTTTTTCGATGAAAGATGTACAGAAAGAGAGAGAGAGAAATAAACAGGAGGAACCAAATAAAATAAAAAAATAAAAGGAATGAACAATCTTTGTTTAATTATAAAATGTCATTTACGATTTAACGAACAATCTGCTGCAGCAACATTCACACTAGTAAACTTGGCAACAGAACAATCTTTATTTAATTATATTTTAATGTATATCTGTAGTAATATAGATATGTGTGTCTTTTTTTAATATCTTTAATGTTGTACGTTCCCGCATATGCCTGAGCTTGCTCTCGAGTATGGCTGCAACCTCCGCATTGACGACCGGAAGGGTCAGCCACTTTCTAGCCCCGCCGAGGTCCCTTTTTGCTTTGTCGTTGCGCATTATCACCGGTACCAACAAGATGTTAGTTTCACGTCGAAGCATCTGCATTATGACATCAACTCCGGTATCCCCATCATCGACAATAAATGCAACCTACACATTTACAGACTCACATTAAGTCGACTATTCAAACTGAGGTTTGTATTACATGAATTAAAAGACAAATGAAAACATTACCTTGAAGGTAATCGCCCCCTCTCGGATCATTTTAACGGCCATATAGCACCGTCTTTCACGGCCACCAGAGGGGTTCCTTCGCTTGCGTTCACCGCTTTCTCCAATGCGTCAATATATATGCACACTAGTTTTGGAAACGATCAAAACGTTGATCATGGTCATGTTATTAGTGTATATTTGTGTTTGGTTATGTTTATAAGTGTATTTGCTTTTGTGTTGATGTGATGTGTTGAAATTATAAGACATGGGGCGTTTATATAAGGGGTTGTGTTACCATAAAAAGAAAAACGCGCACAAGGTTTCATCCAAACATTATAGTTTCTCTACATTGAATTAGGAACTGTTCAACTTACCACAATCGTACGTAATTTGTTTATTTCAATTACGATATACGAGTATCCAATACCTTTAACACACCATTTCACATACTGCAAATAACAAAAATAATAATTAACTCACTAATACCATATAAAATATCTTTTGATTAACGCTGAAAACTAGAAAGGCATTCGTAAAATGTTGTAAAGACATTTTTATTTTGTAATGTCAAACTAAGATTCGTGGCACTAAACACAAATATGCATGCGTGCTGCTTTGCTTTGCTTTGTACCATTTATTGAAAAAGCTTGCCATCGATCATCTTGGACTTGAAGAGAAGAGCAGCATTAAGTCTGGGCCTCTGGGTCGTGGATGTCATGGCGGATCCTCTCGACTTGGACCCAGTCCATAGCACATGACGGTTACTTTGAGCTTCTTGTTTATTCAAGGTATGAGAGTTTAAGTGACAAACAGGCTACTACCCCCCGGGCCAGACCCAATAAGGTCCAAGTGGAAACTAAAATTTATGTTCGAAGCGTGCCTTGCGTGTCGACACGTGGATACGGGTAATGCGGTTCAACTCGATACGGGTTAGAGGTCTGACCCACTAAATAAGAGAGACGGGGAATGTTGGCGATTGCGATGTCGTGACTTCGAAGGAGGTTTTTCGCCGCCGCTAGTGCCCACCGGATTGGCTGAGAGAAACCGACTGTCTTATCAGAAACCCTAACCCCGATAAAATGAATTTGGGGTTTTTCGAATCCTTTTGGGAGTGCCCGGCGTAATCTCTCCTTGTCTGTTCCTTTTATCTAAAAAAAAATGTTTTGACATTTCATGACTGACTCATTAGATTGAAACCTTAGTTAGTTCGTCTGTTTATGTCAAAGTAATTACTGTGATCCGAGCTCGGTTAGTTTACTTCGTCGTAGAAATGTCACATGAATCAAACATAACTTAGATCATAAATTAGTTTCAATTTCAAAGATTATTATTATTATTATTATTATTATTATTATTATTATTATTATTATTATTATTATTTTGTTCGAAGATTATTGTTTATGTCAAAGTAATTGTCGTCTAGGATCTCCTCACCAAATATTTCAATCACAACAAATATATCCACTTCAGTGTCTCTTTTGTTTATTGTCATTCTAAATAAATAAATAAATAAAAAACCTATAATTTTATAACTATATTTTCAGATTCGAAAATCCAATTCTCTCCCATCTCTTCCGCCGCCGCCGCCACCGATGAGCCAGGTCCGCTCCGCCGTCGTATCTCTTCTCTCTCTGGTAACCAGCCTTCCACCGCCGCCGCCGCAGCCTGTGATTTCCCCAGATCCATATCGATATCCGCCATGGGAGATCAAGAAGGAGGTAGCTCCGTGAAAGAATGGTGGGAATGGAGTTGGTCATTAGTTCTCTTGAAGAAATTACCCATCATATTTGCAGATCTTGAGTTTAAAGAAGACAAAAGGGACCAAATCATCTTTGAGGGTATTTTAAGATTTATTAAAAAGTATTTTTCGTTGTAATGAAGCCAAACGAAATCATCTTTCTCTGGTAAATCTAACTCAATTCATTTAAAAAGTTTACTAACATAAAATATGTTTTTTTTTAAGTCTTCTTAATTAGTTGCATCTGAATTGCTATTCCAAGATAAAACATACTAATAGCATCAAAATGCAGCATCGGGTCGGAATGCAAAAGCCAAATTTAAAAACGAACATGCAGCATTTGGATGCAGTATCAAATGATGTTTTCATTTGTTTCTTATACAATAGAGATCAAGCTTTGCGTACAAGAAATCGCAGTTCTAAGCAAAATATGAGACCTGTAATCAAGTGTGAAATATAAATCATAGGATTTTAACTCAGGATCATAGATAACAAGACTGGGATGATCGCCACGTGCATCGAAAAGCAGCAATGCATTATTATCCTTGATAACCATGAGTGGAATGACGCATGGAATTACACGCGCAACACAATCAGGGCTGAACCAATGAGAATTAGTTGGTAGATCTAACGAATATATTTTTTCCCAAGTCATGTCCGATTTGTCTAATGACCATATCTCTTGTCTTGGCCACTTCTTCTGGGATACGCAAAGCCGATTGTTCAGGTTACACATGATGATTTGTTTATAAGTGGCTTCGACAAACGGTGCTTTTGCGATCACTCGAAATTTTTCTGTGTGAAGGTCAAAAGATAATATTTTTGTTTCCATGATATAGTCATCAGTGAACCAATGGAGTGATCCATCAAAATATAGTGGGGTTTTGTAATAAACAATACGGCAAGGAGCAGCAGTCACATACCTCCACGTGTTGGTGGTGCTAAAGTCAAAAACTTCACAAGTTGTAACGTTTTCAAGCCCTAACTCAAATGAATTATATAACCAAACCAGTTTATATGTGTTTGTGAACTTGTCCTTGCCAAGTCCTAGATCCCATGTTGTTGTAGAAGAGTAGTCTTCTCCTTTCCAGCTATTTCGACGCAACATGTCAACATAAACTGCTTGGAATCTCGCAAGGGGAACACTTCGAGACCATCTAGTGGTTGGATTAACCACACATATACGATTGTAGTCATTGTAATAGCATATCATACCATCACAACTCCCACAAATTAAATCAAAACAAGGATATTTTGCCACGTTGGAAATATGGACATCTTCAGGCGGAGGGCAAAGGTTTAGAGGTTTGACCACGTCTGACGAATTTAGTGTCAACCTCCTAATTATGTTTTTTTCACTCTTCGTAACTCCACCAACATCAAACCATTCAATGGGATTTATGAGGAGAACATCTGGATCTCGCCATTGCTGTCTAAAGAACAATTGTCTCTCCTTGAAATATCGAGATTCAATTGTTCACATCCACTGTTTTGACACTGATTTGAATCTGAGTAACGATTTCACCGGAAATTTCTCTAGGATCTGCTCTACTACATCAAGGGATAGCTCCATCATAAAATATCTAGGTCTTGTTTCTGATATTTTTTTTTTCAAGTGTTAGGCTTATTTTATTTTCTTCTTCCACACACATGCCTTAGCATTTCGTTTAGTTATATTTATATATATCACACATCCTGATCTTGCCTATGTAAGGCTATGCCATGGATTCTTATCTCCAAAACTTAAATGAAAGTAAACCTTCAAAACAACTTTTGTCAATTAATTCAATTTTAAAAGGAAATGAAAATTCCCAATTGTTCAATATTTTCACTGAAACTATCAATTGTTCAATATATTTTTCCTTGGAAGGAGGTAAATCTTCTCAAAAGTGTCATTTGTTCAATATTTTTTTTTTCTTCTTGTAATAGAAAGATAACTTTTCTAATTGTACAAAAAAGATAACCTTTCTATGGTAATATATTTTCTGATAACTAAAAACTGTATACACCATAATTTAATGCATGAGGCTCTTGGTTACTCTTTTATGATTTTCTGGGCATTGAGTTGATCTGAAAATGAGAGTTTCTTTACTGAATTTTGAGAGGTCTGTCTTCAAATTTTCAAATTTTTTTCACATTCGTTAAATTTTTATAAATTTTTACATTTCTTTGTTTTTCCTACTTTAAACATCTGTGTCGGGTGTTCTTTTCTACCATGTAAATTTTGTGATTCCAAGCGGATTGGCCTCTCTGAGACTAATCTTTTTGAATCATCTTAATAATTTCCATCTTCATTTTACTTTCTGACCTCATTTTACATATTATAGACTTAAAAAAAAAAAAAAACAAGATCAGTTTTGGGCGAAATAAAACAATTTCGTTGATCAACGGAGATAAACCGGTTGGTTAAATGTCAGACTAATTCCCGGTTATTCTTAAGCGAAGCCGGTCGAACAGTTACAGAAAAACCCTAGATAACCACCTTCTTCACGCACTTACCGTCGTCACTCAATGAAACTCTAAAACCCTCAACCAGAGAGAGAGAGAGGGGAAAAAACGCAGTCTTCGTGGAATTTAGCGGAGGAGAAACAATGAGACCACCAATGGGCGGCGGCGGGTTCAGGGGACGGGGAGGACGAGACGGCGGCGGCGGTCGATTTGGTGGAGGAGGACGACTTGGTGGTGGTGGACGATTTGGACGCGGAGGCGGTCGCTTTGGGTCTCGAGACGAAGGGCCTCCTAGCGAAGTCGTGGGTTCGTTTCTATCCTTGAGATTGTTTCTACTTCTTGTTTGATTTTCGAAATACATAGAAAAAATTATTAAGATGCTCGATTTTTAGACTTGAGTTTTAACATGAATGAGTTGGTTCCTGTAAGTGTAGCAGTATTGTAAAGAAAAAAAAGCTCATTTTGTGATCAGTGATTTCTAATTGACGAATCATATCGTGCTACTTTGCTTTCTCTCTTTGTTACCCGCAAGCTAGTCTTGTTGTATAACTACAGAGCTGAATTACTTCACCAAAATATCTACAAGTATGATTCTTTTGACGGATTTGGTGTCTGATATATTGTTAGTTTCAGCTTTGAGTTAAGGGGTTCTTTTACTGTAAAGAGAGATATATATATATATATGACTTTTTGTCTTGACTACCTTGTGTGACGAGGTTTTCTTTCTTTGCTTACAGAGGTTGCAACTTTCCTCCATGCTTGTGAGGGAGATGCTGTGACCAAACTCTCACATGAGAAGATTCCGTATTTTAATGCCCCCATCTACCTGCAGAACAAGACTCAGATTGGGAAAGTAGATGAAATCTTTGGCCCTATCAACGAATCTGTAAGTTCTCTATCCAACGTGGTCTTCTTCCTCCAGTTGTATCCAATCAAACTAGAGGTTTCAGGCATTAATTTTTTTTTTGTTTCTTCTTCAGCTGTTTTCTATCAAAATGATGGAAGGTATTGTGGCCACCTCGTATGCTCCAGGAGACAAGTTCTTCATCGACCCAGGAAAGCTTTTGCCTCTCGCTAGATTCCTTCCTCAGCCAAAGTAAGTTGCACTCTTAACAAATGAAATCATTAGTAAGCTACAAACGGTTAACTTCAGCAATTAGCTTAGTTTTGCCGTGAAAAATGGAGACTTGAATGAGAGTATGAACTGGTATGTCTTCGTTCTTGCAGGGGTCAATCAGCGGGTGGCCGTGGTAGAGGTCGTGGTGTAGGAGGTAGAGGCCCGCCTAGAGGTCGTGGTGGTAGAGGCCCTCCAAGAGGAGGTCGTGGTGGAGGATTTCCCGCAAGAGGTGGTGGTCGTGGAGGCTTCAGAGGCCGAGGAAGAGGATACTAGATTCTCCTCCCTACTTTTTAAACCTTATCCAACTTGTACCCTTTTGTTTTATCAATGACTATCGTTTTCACAGACTCTCAGTTAATCGATACTCTGCTTTAAAATTAATGGAGTAAAAAATTGCATCTAAATTATCTTCCATTGATAGAAAGTTTTTTTTTTTAAATTACACTGCAATGGAAATTGAATGAAATCACAGAGCAAATCAATAATAGAGAAGGATTGTCTGAGTTGTTATTATTGAGATTCCAAGGTGATCTCATGATCCCCAGCCTCTGATAGTGGTAGCTTGAGCCACGCGTTTGACACCGAGGGTGAAAGCTCCCATACGAAGATCACAGGAGTGAGTCTGACACATGTCTTTCAAGTCTGTGAAGCCGCGAGTCATGTATGTCCTAAGCTCCTTGTTAACCTTTTCCTCATCCCACATGAATCCTTGTATGTTCTGCACACAAAACACGAATCAGTGTTTGATCGATTGGGTTTAGGTCCTACATTCTTGGTTTTGAGTGTCGTACCTGAACCCACTCGAAGTAACTTACAGTGACTCCTCCTGAGTTTGCGTATATATCTGGGAGGATCACAACACCTTTCTTCCTCAAGATCTGCAGAGAAGGATAGTACACAGTCTCTATGACGCCGAGTTTAAGAGAAGAAGAAGGAAGAGCAAAAAACAAAATTTTCGAACCTCGTCAGCCTCAGGATCAGTTGGATGATTGGCACCTTCAATGATGAATTTTGCTTTAATCTCATTCGCATTTTCCCTACACAACCAAACTAAGAATTTTCAGAGGAAGTTCGAGTGAAAAGGTTAACTTATGTGGCAAGAAAACAAAAAGACCTGTTGATGACGCCCCCTAGAGCTGCAGGGACAAGGATATCACAATCTTCAACAAGAATCGAATCAGGATCGGTCGAATCAGCACCATCAAACCCTTTGATTCCTCTGTTTTCTTTGGTATGCTCGAGCAAACCAGAGATATCGATTCCATTCTTGTTCTTGATTGCTCCTGTGACATCGCTCACCGCCACAATCTTTCCCCCTTTCTCACTTATCAACTTCGCCGCCCAAGAACCCACATTTCCAAAACCCTAAAATACAGAGACAGTATGAGTAGAGCTTCTTAACTTCTTTCGCAAGCAATCGCTTAAAAAACTTATTAACTTTTATACCTGAATGACGAATCGCTGTCCCGATATGCTCTTTCCATGTTCATTTAGTAGAGCTTCTGTTGCAAATAACACTCCTCTTCCAGTAGCAGCATCTCTCCCCAGAGATCCACCAAGATCCTGCCCACAACATCATCCTCAAGAATCATATCTCATTCGGTTTTAGATTGGTCAGGCATATAAACCGAATCTCGATTAGAACAGTAACTTACAATGGGTTTTCCGGTCACAATGGCAGGGGAGTGTCCGTGGAATTTCGAGTATTCATCAAGAATCCACGCCATTGTCTTAAACATGCATCATTATACATATATTTCAGACAACAACACATAAGAACTCCATTGGAAGCACAACAAGAAGAAGATTTTAAAAACCTGAGGACCGGTTCCCATATCAGGAGCTGGAACATCGGTATGAATCCCGATGAGATCATGAATCTTCTGTGTGAAAACTCGAGTCAAACGTTCGAGCTCCGAGATGCTTAGCTCGCTCGGGTCACAACCAATACCTCCTTTGGCTCCACCGTAAGGTATCTTAGCCACTGCTGTTTTCCATGTCATGAGTTGAGCCAAGGCGTTTACTTCATCCGGTTCCACCTGTCAATTAACCGAGATCCGGTTTAGACATACCAAATTAAATTTGCTTGGTCTAATTAAATGGAAATTTTCTTTTTATTTGAAGCAAACCTCTGGATGATATCTAATTCCACCTTTCATGGGACCTCTTGCGTTGTCGTGTTGGACTCTGAATCCAATGAATGATGCTAGAGTTCCATCGTCTTTCGGAATGGTACATTCCACCTGCAATAATCGGTTAATTTTCGATTTAATGATGTCTTAACCGGATCGGTTATGCAGATCTGTTGTTGTATATGGGAGAAAACAGAAGAAAACATTTTAACCTTGATCTCTCTGAAGGGAATGAGAAGACTTTTCTCGAGCTTTGAGTCCAAACCAAGAAGCCTAGATGCTAGCTTGAAGTTTCTGTTGGTTGCTGCTAAAGCATTCATGGTGTTTTGTGATTTTGGGTTGATTTGATCAGGGACTTTGATTAGAAAGCTATTGGAAAATGTGATTCTTGCTTACGATATTGCAAGCGTGTGTGTATGGTTGTGTTTATATAGGTAGATACGTACACACTTCTTATTTGTGTGTGTGTATATATATATATGTAGTTCGTATATTAGAATAACAAATAATTATACAAGGAAAATGAATAACTGAAATAATATGATTTCCATAATTGATCCTGATTTTGAGTGGTTAGAGTAGTATGTCTTTGTTTAGTAAAGTTTGTTTTTTTAACATAAAAATACGCAAAAATGTAATAGTTTTTAGAAATTGCACATGTCTTTCATGTGTTTTAAAATAGTGGAATATTCATTTAATCAAACGTAATAAAAGCCAGATCGGTAGACTTAATTAAACACGATAAATATTCTTTTCATCCCTTAAAGAGCACAATAATGTTGTAAGAAATGTAGACTTAATTAAAGTGTCTACCGATAAATAATTTTTATCGTGTTTAATTAAGTCTATCGATACACTATCACCAATATTATATAGATGAAACTTGAAAGAGAGAGCTCGTAAGAAAATTTCGAATGGTTTTATGTCATTTTATATTTCTAAAGGATCAATCCGCAATGAATCTTGCATGTCTTGAGATCTTTACGTGTTATTAACTTATTCTGTTCTATTAGTCCCTACATTTATATATAGCGTATACACTTTTTGGAGTAGTGACAAAAGTAACGTATACACTTAGTGAGTTAGTGGCAAAAAACGTATACACTTATTACACACATATAATATTCAGGTTTGATTGTAAATATTCTTCGTATATATATACTCGAATCAGAATCTTTAGAGAATTTGAGGAGGACAAGAGAGGATGCAACACATCAAGAAACGGAAACAATTACAAGATTCCACCATCAAAGAATCTTTTCGAAAAGAGATTCCCCATGATTTATGCTTCCACTAATTTATTGAATTCTGTGGATTTCCACCAAGATTTCTTTCTATTTCAGTTTCCTAAAGAAGATATCAATTTCGTAAGACCTTTTGACCGTGACCTAGTGTTTCTAAATTTGATCCAACCACTTTGGTCGAACCATTAAAAATATAATATTTAGAAGAAAGTTCGGTTTAGAGTGGCTAATGTCACGGATTGAATACTTTTTAATACCCATATTCAGTTATACCATAGCTATATATCATTTACGAAAAAGAACATGATATAAAAAAAACTAAGAAACGAACTTTATCAAATAAAACCAGGTGGACTTTCTCCTAAAGGCTCAAAGCCATTCCCTAATAGACTAATACAAACAAAAAATCAGCACAAAAAACTACGAAAAGGATCACTGCGTGGTATACCATTTTTTTTGTTTCGAAAACATGATTTGACTATACAATATATGAAAGTTGATTATACTTAGGAAATCAGTTCCGTAATAAGTAATTTTTTCGTTAATATAATAACTAGCTAAATAAAAATCGATTCATGCTTTCAGAAAAACAATTTCTTAGTTCATAATCAGAATGATAACTTGGTCGTTGAGAGAAAATTAAAAAAAAAAAAAGTCTCCGTGGAGAAAATGGATAACCCAATAAAATGTGGCCTTAAAATGGGCTTTAGCCAATTATTTTCCTAGATAATTGGCCCAATAAGCCCATCAATCCTAAGTGATGAACAAAATTCTTTTTTTTTTTTTACATCAAGTAGTGATGGACAAAATTCTTAAAGCGCTAAATGCGAAGTAACACAAGTGATCCAACTGTCTGCCACTCCATTAATGTCGGTTCTCGTTTTCCCACTCAACAGACCCCACGAAAATCGAAAGCAAAAGGTAAACAAAGGATCAAGCTCAACAAAATCTCCCTTCCTTCGAGAATCAGGAGCACATCGAGTCCAAGGTATAAATTTTCTCATAATGCAATCGTATTGTTCATCTTTCCTGTGATCAACTGTTTTTAATCTGTGATTCTCTTGGTGGGTTTGCGTGTAATGCCCTAAGGTTGTAGAGTGATTATTTTCGCAAATCATGGGTTGTCCGAAAGGAGCTGAATTTTTAGTTTATTGTTATTTCTTCTCGAGAGTAACTGAGATTAGTGGCAGCTGCTATAAAATTGTGGATTTGTTTTGGCTATGATTCTAGAATTGAAACGTAATCTCTATTTTGTTCTGTTCCTTTGGATTCTGATAAGCTTCAAGGTATATTGTTTGGAAAATTACTTTGATTTACTGTGAAATCAGCGTCTCCGGTTGTGAAACCTTGTTTATATCTTTGGAACATTTCAAGAAGACTGGTCATGTTAATATTTTTGAACGTGTCTTTGCAGATTGGTTTTTATTTCTGGTGGGTTAGTTTCTCTGAGTTTGGGTGGTAAATCAGATCAACAGGCAGGGTTTTGACAATGTCGACAGTAGGAAACTCGACAAACATATTTTGGCAAGAGTCACCCATTGGGAAAACTGAAAGGCAGAAGCTGCTAAACCAGAAGGGTTGTGTGGTGTGGATCACAGGCCTCAGTGGCTCAGGTCAATCATTTGAACAATTTTGAATCTTTCCAGTTGGTGATGATGACCTAAGATGCATTGTTAATGTCTAAAGTCCTTATATTACATAAGTCTCTGTCCATATTTGAAACTCTTCGTCTGAAACTTAATGCAGGGAAAAGCACTTTGGCTTGCTCGCTTAGTAGAGAGTTGTACAACCGGGGAAAGCTATCATATATACTTGACGGAGATAATCTTCGTCATGGTTTGAACATAGATCTCGGTTTCAAGGCAGAGGATAGAGTGGAAAATATACGCAGAGTCGGTAAGTACATAGTTGGCTTGCCTATTACCAAAACAACTACATTGATATTTAAACATTAAAGAATACCAAAAAAATTGTTCTAATACGCAGGAGAAGTAGCCAAACTCTTTGCTGATGCTGGTTTGATCTGTATCGCCAGCCTCATATCGCCCTACAGGAAAGACCGTGACGCCTGCAGGGAAATGATGCGTGATTCATCTTTTATCGAGGTAAGCTTATTAGAAACCAGATTCTTTTCAGTTTCTTTCCATCAAAGCATCTTGTTTGATGTTGTTGGCATACACTCTTCAGGTTTACATGAACATGTCTCTACAACTGTGTGAAGCAAGAGACCCTAAAGGCTTATACAAGCTTGCGCGTGCAGGAAAGATCAAAGGTGAGATAACTTAAGCTTCCATATAAACAGAGGATCGCAAATTGCTTTCCATATCATTTGAGTCTTTAAAGAAAGTTTTTTTTTTTTTTTTTTTGCTTCATACCCTTTTTGTGCAGGCTTCACAGGGATAGATGACCCGTATGAATCTCCCTTGAATTGTGAGGTATGATCCATATTGTGAATATATGAATCTTGTTGGAGAATATCGTAAACTAAGTGTGTGTGAATATGATGTGTACTCTGTTTCTTTTGCATGTTTTTAAAAAAAATAACAGATAGAGCTGAAAGAGAAAGAAGGAAAGTGTCCTTCCCCTGTAGCTATGGCTGAGGAAGTCATCTCTTATTTAGAAGACAAAGGCTTCCTTCAAAACCAGTGACCTCTTAACCAAAATCAAATTTGTTGTTTTTCCTTTCCAAGTCTTGGCCGTTTTTTTTTTAAAAATGTTTCTTCACTTTCCTAAAACATGACAAAAATCGTAAAGAAGTTTGTAACTATGAAAGACATACATACAGCTTTCTTCCTTTACAACTTTCTTTTCCTTGTTTCGAAACTTATCATCTTTTACAATTCTAAAGGCAGCAAGTTATTCGACAGATAAGTGCAGCACTCAAGTATCAATCATCTAAGAAAAAATATTAGTATTGAAAAATTTAGAACCTATTTGAATAGCCGGAAAAAAATAGAGGGCTTATTTGTTATTTTCCCCTGAATTTAGATCGCGAGTTGTGCAATATAAAAAGCGAAACAGAATTCGTTCCCTGGGAAAATTTGAGAGAGAAAGAGAAGGAGAGATATGGTGTTGAACAGTCGATTGGTGGAGACAACAGTGAATCTATCGACGGATCTATGGCAATATATAGCTTGTAACCCAGAGAGACTTCCTCGCGCCACCGTGCTCCGTTTCATCTTCTGCGTCCCTCTCCTCCAGCTCCGCCGCGTCGCTTTCTCTCTTAGGTCCTACCTCTGCTTCGATTGCCCCACCGGATTCGATCGCAATTCTCATTCCGATTAACTTCCCGGCGCTGTTTCCACGGATCGTCAAATTTGCTCCTTCGATTTTTATATATCCACCACATGTCTGTTATTTACTTTGATTTTGTAATTTGTTTGTTTGTAACCGAAAGGGACATTGTATTAAAAAGTTGACTACCAGAATAAACCGGAAATTTATAAAATGACTGAAACCAAACCGGTTTTCGAGGAATTCGTCGTCGTCGTCGTCGCAGGAGAGAAGAAAGCGGAGACGTGTAAGCCAAAAGAACATCGAAGGTTTCGTGAGGAAGAAGATGAAGTCGCTAGTGGCCCATTTCTCTACGCCTTTAATCACCGCTAGATTCTTCCCCACATGTCTCACTCATCGACCATCGATCTCCGCCGTCGCTTTCCCCACCGCCCGCCGCCCAAATTATCATCTCACCATGGCCTCGGCAGCTCAGTCTTCTTCTCAGGTATATCATCTATGCGGCGAAGTATAATCTCTGCGAGTATGTTATGTTGATTAGATAAGAAAAAGTGAATTTTGGTCATTGATTCTCTATAATCCGTAATTTCCTGTAATCAATTTGATTCTAGATCTCATTTTTGTCGGATGATTTGGTAGCTAGACTTTGACTATTTTGCCTTGAGCTCAATAGTTGAAGATTGGTCTAAACTTTTGTGTCATATACTTCAGGCTGTATCACCGGGGAGCGTCAACAGTGATACAGATGTTTTCAAATTGATTCAAGCTCACGAGGTAACTTTATTCATGCATTTTGTAACTATGCTCTGATGAACATATCTTTCCATATGATTTGATCAAATATTGATGTAATTGTTCGTCTAATCTCCAGGAGAAGGCTGCTCGTCTTTCTCCAGTGGAAGAAATTCGAACTGTGCTTAATGGTAGTGTTCGTGGTATGCTTTCCACTTTTTCTCGGGTAAGACTTTAAGTTTTTTTTTCTTCTATGAATATGATTTCTCAGAGTCCAGAGAGCATATAAGGATGTGTACACTGAAATTAGTCTTAGGATTCTGATTCTTGGTCACCTTGACTGTATCTCATTCACCGTAATCTTGATCTGGTGCAGAAGTATGAGGGTTATCCTTCAGGTTCAATGGTTGATTTTGCATGTGATGCTGATGGCTCTCCGATTCTGGCAGTGAGTAGCTTGGCGATGCATTCAAAGGTTTGTTGCCTATTTAAGCATAACAGAGAGTCCATTTGTGTTCTTCTGCAATTTGGTGGCTTTATAATTCATTTGGAAAGTTCCTGCTGTTTACAGGATCTGTTAGCTAATCCAAAATGCTCATTACTGATTGCTATCAACCCAGAGGATAGAACCGGTTTGAGGATCACCTTGCATGGTGATGCAGTGTTGGTATGTGTTCTTCAGCGTTCATTTGTACATTCATTGAAACATAACGCTTGAGAGTTTTTGTATATATATTATTCAGGTTTCTGACAAAGATCAAGCGGCTATTCGAACTGCTTATTTAGCCAAGCACCCCAGTGCTTTCTGGGTAAACATCCTTTCTTGTAATCACTAGAAAGTCAATATACTATGACATCTCAAGAATTCTACTGAACATTCTGTCATTCTCATCTTGATACTGTAAAGGTTGATTTTGGAGACTTCAGCTTTATGCGGATTGAGCCGAAAGTGGTCAGATATGTTTCAGGGATTGCAACTGCTTTTCTAGGATCTGGAGGTTTTTCTTCCTGCTTCATCTTATTTATATTCTAATCTTATGCTAGCTCCTGTTAGCCCGCTAATCTTTGCTTTCGCTCTGAAATCTTCATTTTCAGAATTCAGCAAAGAAGAGTACCAAAGAGCCAAAGTGGATCCTATAGCTCAGTTTGCGAAGCCAGTAACGGTAGCAATCACTGTCCGGGTTCAATTTTCTGCCAATACATAGCAGTGAATGTGTACTTACTCATTTTCATTTCGGCAGTCTCACATGAATACAGACCATGAAGAGGATACCATAGCCATTGTACACCATACAACATCCATACCTGTAAGTAATACTATCCAATTCATCATCTAAATCTTGGTCAACATAAACCGTAGGTAATGGGCATTCAGTTCCATGAGATCCGGTTAAGCTTAGCACTGTTTGTCTTTGACGCACACTGTTATATTCACAAAAATCATAATTAAACTTTTGAATGAGTAAACCTCCTTGAATGTCAGGTGGAGAGCGCCTTGATGCTTAATTTGGACAGCCTTGGTTTTAACGTTAAGGTGTGTTTTCTAAACACCAAAACCCTTTTTTCACACCCTTTTATCTTTCATTTCATAAACATATATTCTCCTCTTCGTTACAGGCTACTCTTCAAGGGAACACCTTTAAGCTCCGAGTTCCGTTCCCAAGACGCGCACTAGACAGAAAGTAAGACGCTCTCTGTTACAATTTGTTCCCCGGTTTCTGTCTAGAGTTAAAACTACTGATCCTCTTACTATCAGAGTGATCCGAAATTGATTGAGAAGCTCTTTAACGTGGTGGTGTTTGCAGGGATGTGAAGACATTGATAGTGGAAATGCTTCAAGCTGCCAAGTCTGTTTCCAATTAGTTTGCTATAGAAAAGATGGAAAAGCTCTCTTCCTCCTGAAAATTTCGTGCTACAACAAAAAAAGCTTCAACCTTGACACAGTCCTCATCCCTATTTATCAGTTGCCAAAGAAAACTCTTTTAGTCCTGTATATATCTTAAGGAGACTATAACTTTACTTGATACATAAAAAAAAGTTACATAAATGGATATTTGTGAAATTAATGACACTTGTCATCACAAAGAAATGATGTTTCCTTGTGTTCAAAATGCGCAACCGAGTAATTTCACCTCATACACTTTTTAAAAGATATTAATTATGTGACAAAACATAATTAGAACAAAAGCATTAATATAATGACGCATTCATTAACATTAACATCGGAGAGGTTGTGGCAACAGTCACCAACAACAGGTTTGCAAGGATTCTTAAGATCCTTGCTCATAAGTTTCCTGTTTTACCCAACTTTTATGTTCAAAGTACCATATTCATCTACTCTATCTGTGCTAAATGTGTCAACATTCTTGCTGAGAATTAGTAGTGTCTCCAAAAGAGTTTATTTGTGTGAAATTTCACAATGATCTATTAACAACACACAATTAATCTGACTTTAACCCAAGTATATATAATTTACAAAATTTATTTACTAAGCTATAAACTATTGAACTTATGAAGCTGGCCGGTGGGGTAGACTCGATATGACCCGTTGATTCCAATAGAATTATGGACGGCTGAGATTCAAAGTCCATCGTAGTAACCCCCAAAAGATATCTGAGCTCTGACGACAGGAACACCTTTCACAGCAAAGATTGCTTCATTGATCTTTGTTGTATGATTCACAGCTTCTTTCATCCTCTACATAGTATTCACCAACACATATATTATTTTGTTTATCAACAACTTGAATATGTGTTTTGTGGGATTGTTACATGGGTGTTATTAAGAGTATTCAATAAACGAAGAAATTTCTTCTTAAAAGTTTGACGTTGGCACAAGAAACAATCAGGATACAAAACGTTCAAGATACAACAAGAATCATTCTCTTCAATTATAGAGATTAATATTGTTCACTTGAACACGTATGCTTCACCTTATCATTTGGTCGGGTTCAAATATTCGAAACTTGTTTCTATAATTTAATCAAAAGTATACCAATCAATTAATCACACAGTTTCTAGAACATATCACTAAGATCAAAATTACTTTATTAGCAATTAACCAATTATAATAAGCAGACAAATACCAACTATAATACTCATAAACCACTAACATCACAAAATATTATTCTACTACTCTTTTTCACTATTTTGGTTCATCTCAACTAATTTATCCAAACCTACAACTCCTTTTATCTTTAATATCTAATAGTTAATCAATATATAGAACACCATTTTCAAATATCAATTAATTAAATAGTTAATTTTTTTGTCTAAAATATTGCTAGTAGAAATTACTTATCATTTTCAAGACGAATGCTAAACTATAATCAATTTACTGTCATTAATTTATATAGTTAAGAACAGTCACAAATGTGAAAATAATTGTAATTAAGAATATAAATTAGATTGAAAAAAAAAATCAAGTTACCTTATTATCATCGGAGTAAATCTGGAACCTAAGCATCTGGTTCTTGCTCTTACAAATTTTGATGTTGTTGTGTCCGAGGAAGAAGACACACACAGAAGCAGCAGCAGCTGCAGCACCAAAAGAACAAATTGCTCCTATCCCGTTGAGACCAATCTTCCACAGATTCAACCTCTGACCTCTACGATCACTCGTCACATCATCATTCTCTTTCTCCAGATTAACTTCTTTCTTCTCTCGGAAGTCATCACTTCCTTCGGAATCAGAGGGTTTCACAGCATCTATCTGAGACACAGGACTCGTGATCCTCGCTGGTGGGTCAGTTTTCATGTCGGCAAATTCGGTTTCCTTCATTTTCTTGAAGGATACTCTTGGTGACGGAACAGAGTCCGTCAAAAGGGTCTGTTTTGAACCCGGGTCAAGATCCGGGTCATTGGGTATCTTCTTGTTCTCGTGATCCAACACGGGTTCCCAAGCTATGGGAACTTGGAGGAGTTTCGTGGGGATCACTCTGGATCTTGGAGGAGACTCTGTTTTGTGGAGAGGATCTTGAGTTGATGGGCTGAGGTAGTAATCCATCATCATCGCACCATGATGTTCATCGTCGTGGTCAAGATCAAGATAATTGAAGCTGTTCTTGGGGATTAATTCCCACTCATCCATATCCATTTCTCCTTGATCTGATATTTCGATCAGGGTTTTGAAAGTTATAAAAGAAAGCGAAGATTTTTTTTTTTTTGAAGTTAATTTGAGAAAGTGAGATCTTTTTAATTATTGGAGCGAAGTGGGTTTGGTATTCTCTCTCTCTGACTCTCTCCCCTGTGAAGTGATTTCAAGATGCTTTAATATATAGAGGAGAAAATAGAAGATTCAAACTCGATTTTAGATGCTGATAAGAAAATAATAATAATCCAAACAGTTGATATACATCGATTGATAATATTTGAAGTTGACACATTTAGAAGACATCTAGATAATTTAATTTTTGAATGTATTATTTTGGGTTTTAACAAAAAAATAATGTATTATTTAGGAGATATGGGTGACGTAAATGAATTAGAGCTTATCTAACGCAATGAAGTGACAAAAGAAGAAGTGGTCCTTTTGGGACCCAATTCAAGAAATATTGATTGCTTCTTTGACAAGGTCCTTAATTCTTCCTCCATGATGAAGTCTTCTTCGCTATTTTAGTATTTTAATAACCGATCGCGAGATAGATTCAAATTATCCTTTGTCTGGATCACTTGATTATAACAAAACTTGGCACAACTCTTTTTTGGGTATGCATGTTTCATAATTTTAGCTGCATGTTTCATAATGTTAGCTTGTAACCAAATTTGGAATTAAATAGCTACTGTTTGGTTTCTTCAAGTGATTATTCTTAACCCCTTATATTTATGCTTAGTTCTTTAATTTTGTTCCCTGCTTTTGGACATTCAAGTGTGATTCCTTGGTTTTTGGTTTGATGTAGTCAAATTGTCTATTACAGGTTAACTATAAACTGAACCAGAAATTTTAGATCTGACTCGATCAGAATTCAGAACCATACCCAATAAAAAAACCGATTAATGAATATCATGCTAAAACAAACAACCCTATCCTCAATGCTATGTGATATCCTACTGCAATGTAACATGCACTTGATAGTGTAAACATACATGCAACGGTTGTGGAGCTATAACAGGCCTCGTGCACACAATACAAAGTTGCTTAGAAGATTCAGACAAATTTAGGTTGACTCAAATCAAATTATTCAGTAAAAGAAATGAGGTCAAAACAGACATTTTTAATTTATAAAAACAAAAAGAGAGGAAGATATTCACAAACAGAAGCAAAGCTGTTCCTGGATTTACATGCTTCGATGCAGACAAATAAACTCAAACGTCAATACAACATTCATTTAAGAGAACTCTCAGAGATTTCCAGAACACACTTAAAAACAGCTTCTCTCTTTCCAATGCTGACAAGATATTAGAAGGATCTTTCAAGGGTTTTGATTTTCACCCTTAGGATCAGGATTGGTCCGATGAAGTTTGGCCTAGAGAGACAGATGCGAGCGATGAAGCCCAAGCTTGTGCGTTCTTTGCCCTTTCATGGAAGTTCCTTGTTTTGACGAGTCTTAGTTTCAACCATACTCTCCTCACATCGACCATGTGAAGCGCTCGGCTGAACAGCTGGCTGATCTCTCCAAATCTTTCCAGGTTCAGATTGGGAACATAGGAAGCCCATAACGCTCTCATGCGCGATTCTGCTACGGGGAAGATGAGAATTGCCATTTGTAAACAGATAAACAGCAGAGATAGTACCAAGAATGGATCTCGTTTGAACATTTCACTAACAGATGTCCCATTGCGTAACCGTGTGATCAGGTTACCATCAGCAGCTTCTAAGCCAGTTGTTGGTTCCGCTTCAGCAACATACTGGACAGGTTGGAGACCTGGAAACCCGAAAGAATCATCAGTTATTATTGAATTTTTCAAACTGAGAAGTGGTAGCCAAAGATTCGAAGTAACACAGAAAAAATTCAGGTAGATGGGAAGATAACACAAGCAAGTACGTAGTCTGGTGAATCACCTGTTGATTCCTCATAAAACTCAATCAGGGATGTGAGATCCTTTCGACCATGGTATCGCGCCTTTAAAGTTTGATTTATCATCAGGATTGAAGGTAAGCTATGGATACCATACCTTGAAAAGACTCTGCAACAAAGCAATTGATGAAATCAGTTAGTAAGGAAAAGGCCAAACACATGGAGAAACTAAAAGCACATGAAGGAGAACCCACTAATGAGACAAGGCACGTAGGGTAATTCTGAATTTGCTAACATATATTTGTGATCAACAAATATAAATCAAATGAATAATTGATAATGAAATGTAAGATAAAGTAACAGCAACCACACATAGAATTATTTTCATCTTGTAATGATACTGATCCTATCAATAAAAAACTGATTAGGGAACAACTTTATGTCTCAGAGTGAGAAAGAACCACCTTATATGGTGGAATTTATGAAAAATCTGGGAAGCAATTCAACATTATCTATCACCAAGTCAACTACGACCCCCAGTTTTCTTGACGTGAGTCATTCAATCTACTTTCTTGCAATACTAAAGTAGTATGGAAATAGAGTATGTAGTCTTTAAACAAAGAGTACTACTTACGATGGTAGTGCTTGAGAATGCTCCACAGCCAGGTGCTGGATTTGAGGGAACATCGAACTCAACAAATCAAACTTAGGGCGGAGAGCGCGTGAGAATGGGCACCAGGAAGCATAAAAGAGTACTGATAAATAAGCGTTTCCATGGTTCAAAGCCATTAACCTGTCTAGTGAGTCTCCATCTACCTGCATAGTGCAAACGTAGAGATTGCTTTAGTTAACAATAAAGCTTCAGGTCCAACTTCATCCCTTAAGGAGAACCATTATTTTAACTTTTTTTCCATATCAAAACTTTGCGGACAGAGCTACTAAACATTGTCTAGATGATGTGACAAAATTCAGACGGTAAAATATGGTACTACAGACAGGTACATAGAAATAATTTGTGCTTAGATACAAAGATCCTAAACATCTAAGAGAAGAAGTATCCAGTATATGACACTAGCTAGTAACACATCGAAACAACACAAGAAAACTGCGGAGCATTGGAAAAACGTTGGTGACGCCTGGCTATAAAGCCTTAGACCATGCCTTGCGTAAGTTTCATAACTTCAAACAAACTATTGGTCCGATACTTCGAATTCACAGTAAGCATATCTGCTCGATAGTTATCAAAAAGCCACCATTGTTCCTAATTCAATCTCTACGCCATGGCAATTTGAGGACTAGTCTAATCCAACATAGATGCAAGCAGTTGATCTCCAACCCGTCACTAAGGATGTTTCACAATAAACCCTATGAAGAACCAACGCATCAAAGCAAGCCCCAGAGTTGAATACCCACACGCGTATGCAAATAACCCCAAGAACTTAGCTCACAAGAGCAGAAATGATGACAACGTACCTCAGTAGGAGGACTTGGATAGAGAGAAAGAGGGCATTTGGCCTCTATATCGAACCGGAACAATTGGAATTCGTGATTGCAAACCGGGGATGAAGCCAACCCGGCCGGAAAGCATGACACAGCTATCGCACAGAGGAGGATAATCGGAACCCGGAAATCCATGGAACTTGAGGTCAATGCAATAGCGAGAAAATAAAAAAAGGATTCTATAGCGAAATTGCACAAAATTACTAAGCCCGAAAGACAGAAACTTTGAGGGTAAACCGAAGTCGATGAAGAAGAGACACAAAGATAGAATCAAACGGAACGATTAAGGATGAGCAAAATCATAGGCTAGAACTAGCACGAGGAGGGGAAGAACAAAACCTAATGTCTCCGGGAATCAGAACATCTAGGGTAAAATTGGGGGAATCCCGGATCCGAAAAACCTCAAGTTTTTCTACTTTGTTTTTGACAAGCAAAGAAAAAAAACAGATCGAATAACGAGCTCGAAGTTTTTTTACAAATGATATTATATTCCTGATGTGTTTCGAGGATTTAATGAAAAGTCAAGAGCGTGAGAATAATGAAAAAACCCAACCACTCGCACCATACGCGCGTTGCGCGCGTTAGGCCTAATTCGTGGGTTTACTCATTTTTGATCTGTCCATATAGTCCATCGATTTTACTCATTTTTGGCCAAAATTTAAAAGTGAGCGAGTAGACTGCGTTTTACGTTATATGAGATTGTCGTTTGGTTCTTATTTTGAACAAATAGTAGACATGTTGCTAGCTCTATATTATTAACATCACTTTATATTGTTTGCGTTTTAATTGTTATGAGTTGTCGTTTCACTTTTTTTTTTCTTCTCTGACTTTCCGTATCTTTGACCTGTTTTTATTTCAAAATCGGATGTTTTTCAGGTTTCCGTTTTGCTCTAAGCCTACAAAAATACTCTTGTTTCTGGTGAAGAAAATATTCACCTATCAGCCGAAATAGCCATGAACACGATTTCCAAGCTGAAACTGGAGGATGATGATTTGAACCGAAAGAATTTTGTATAATTTGCTCCAAAAATATATTTGCTCTTTTGGTTGAATATGATCTTCCGCTTGAAAGGATTTGCTTATGGTATGATTAAAGATGCAGAAGACAAGGGATTCATTACTCCCGGAAAGGTTGAACAGTTGAATCATCGTCCTTGTTTTACTTTTTTCCGGCACTAAAATGAGACTAAAAGTCCAAGTCTTGGTGATTTACTTCAGAAGTAGACTAAAATTCCAAGTCTTGGTGATTGGTTTGGCGTTTGTGGGGGAAGCTAGAGGTTACAAAGTAGTGCTCACAAAATGCCTGAAACAATGAGCCTCCAAAGAAAAATCATTCTTTTAGCATTAGTTGCAGAGGTTCACTTCACAGACACGAGAAGAAAAAGGATTACTCTAACATCAATTCAAAAATCCTTCAAACCCTCAAGTAAATGGACTCTCTCCTTTTGATACGATCACTTATTCAACAACAAACTTGCAATGAAAACTTGCATTCTGTTGCATGACGTTTATATATAGTGTTTAAATAAAATTAGTGGAAGCACTGATAAAATGAAATCACCACGGATAACTTTATTATTATAAATAAACAGTAAGAATAACAGACATATAGTCGAATAATAGGACAAGGAAACTTTCAGTTGTATTATAGTTGACAAGATGTAAATATGAATCTCTAGTCTCAAACTTGGCAAACTAAACATAATCTCAAGTGCCTCATCTAGTGAACACAAGAACAAAATTTGCAATCAGCAAGAAATTTGACTCCTGCATCTACAAGAAACTCTATCATCAACGTATGGAATCATATTTCATGGCTTTTTTTTAGGTTGGTGCACTAAGAAGTACAGCTTCCGGCGAATCTCCAGCATCAAGGAAGCTCCTTGACAATGGCTGCAACAGGAGAAAACCACACAAAAAAAAAGATACAAATTTTAAACATATGCCATTCCATTTCTAATTAAGGCAATGTGACTGACCTATAGAAATGGTTCAAGCTTTTCAACTTTTTAATTCAGGTTAAAGTTTTTTGCTTTTTCGAATAATGATATGGATTGATGGTTGTAATACTTGCCTCATTGTAACTGGTTCCAGAGAGAAAGAAAGGTTCCTTTTCCCGAATCCTGCAAACCAAACGAGGAAACCAAAATGATAAGATTCTTTTTTTCTGCAACATCCTTCAGTCTAGTATTCAGTTGCACAATGGTCCCAACATCGTGAAGATTTTACCTTTTGAGTCAAGATCTCAAATTCGAGTAGCTCCTCAGTGATTTTCTCAAGGACACGGCGATTTTTAAGGAGCATTCCCTTTGCCTTCTCGTACGCTAAGTCATAAATCTGTGGAGGAATAAGATGAGATTAGACAAGTTCTACATTTAGCCTTGGAAAATGCTTGAACAAATTGAAATGGGAAGGTGAAAGAAAACTGTTAAAGGCTAGAGAGAGAACACAGACATGGCAGACATAATGAAAGTATTGGAAACTAGAGATCAAAACGAACCTTTTCGACTTTACTGGCCATTTCATATTCATGATGGTTCCCCATACTTAAAGCTGAAACCTGCTCAATTCAATCAAAGAAAAAAAAATAGAATAAAAATGTATCAAGTCACTCAAATGATCAGACGAGACATCAGAATGAATGGAAACTGTAAGATCGAATCATCAATGTTAAAATGTATTCAGTGGTTACAGACATAAATCTTGGAAAGAACTACCAATGACGAATATAAGAACGACGATTACCGCGTTGGTGGCATAGTATACTGCAGGACTGTCGTCGGGTCCCCAGCCATATTGAAGCACCATGCGTGTTGCAATCTGTCGAAAGCCGAAAATAATAATTATAGGGCGAGGAAACATGAAGTCTGTAGACACCAGGAAGGGAGTAGAAAGAGTTTACCTCTTGCGCTTGCGTTATTTCTGAAGATGAAAGATAATTTTCTTCTCCGGGAGGAAGAAGCATTTGGGACGCAATGTGAGATCCAAAGCAGAAAACGAGCTTCTTTTCAAGATATGATCTTGATTCCGTATTCCCACTTGCCGAGCCCCCACTTGTGACCTTGGTGATTTTTGTACACCCAATTCCTTCCCAGGAACTAGGCTCAAGCCACAAATTGTCTACAACATCGAAGTTTGGTATTAGAAGAGCGATTAGAGCACGACCAGCAGCCCAAACAGCATGCGGGAACTTTGTCTCCCTCGTCCAATCAACAGGAGGGTTCAAAAGTTCTATTCCATTGCTGATCTGTCCATATGGTTCCATCAAATCAACCACATTCTCCAAATCTTCTTTGGTTAAGTTGAGTCCAAGATGATTCACAAGCATTTTGCTCATCGACTTCACAACTTTAGTTTTCCGCAACCATGGGGGCACTATATGGCTAAACGTCTGTCATAAAAGAGAAAGAAATCACCTCATGAAACCAACCATAGAAATGAACAAAGATGGTTTGACAAAAGGCGAAGGTGCTACAGATTGCTTACTGCAAACCAGCTAACATAACTCAGAAGTTCATCTGTGTCCAGAAATTTGCTCCTGAAGGCACTACTTTCGAGAGCCATTGGAACAAGTTTCAGTTCTATCGGCCGTAATAAAGATGTCTTTTCCGAAACCTGCAACCATTAACTATTAACTAACCGAGATAGTGGAACCAGAAAATACAGAACCAGGAAGAGATATAGGAGATAGAGCAAGAAAGAAGAAACACGACGTGATAGAGCACTCACAAGCAAAATAGAAATGACCATAACTTTGAAGGTGCAAAATAAATCAAATAGCAGGTTAAACATATATAATCGCTGGCACAGCTTAAGATCACCTTACGCCAATCCACTAGATCAATGAGTTCTCTGTCCATGGTTTCTTCAGCTGCATTGTGTAAAATTCTCTCCCTTTCCATTTCAGTTGGACTTTGAAGGTGGAATATTCTATCCATTCGACCTGGCCTTCTTAACGCCTCATCAATTTGCTTATGATTTCGTGTTGTAGCCATTAAAACTACACCATCCTGTTTCTCAAAGCTGCATAAAGTAGAAATTATTAATTGGAATGGCATCAGAAATATCAACAGGGAAAAAGGAGAAGCTACTTGGGTCTAAATCAGCAGTTCCTATTCCACTATAGGCGATACTTTGAAAAACCCCTACAAATATGGTCTTAAGTTTTAATCAACCAAGAAATTGGCTCTTACCCATCAAGTTCAACAAGAAGCTGATTTATAAAAGATTCATGATCTTGCTGTTTTGTATGTATGAACTTCCCACGTACACCAGCAAAGAGGTCAAAATCCTCCACAAATATGATAACAGGTGCCTAGTTATCACAGTAAACATCAGAACATAAGATGGCATGAATGATTATGATGAGAACTCGAAAGTTAATATCTATGAAATTGATGAATCAACAAAACAATTTGGGGCAAAGCAGCTAACCAAGTCTCTTGCAGTTTGAAAAAGTTCCCTGACATTCGCTGCACTTTGACCAACCCATAGTCCAGCCTCCAACTCTTGAGCTTCAACATTGACGACAGGTAATCTTGCCATCTTATGCTCTGCAGTTGTCCAGGTGAAATTCAACTTAAGAAAATCATTCAAAAGAACTTAACTTTCCAGCAATAAAGAGAAGGAAAAAAAAATGCAAATCCACATACAAGAAGACCTACATGCCACGCATCAACAGGTTTCACGAGCCATGCAGTCCACCAGTCCCAAGGCTTCAGAGGACCCAGAGTGTAGTGAATAATGTGAAGTTTGCTGTCATCAACCATCCACTGCATTAATAGTGAGAATTTTAAGATTCTAGAATTGAAACAAGATGAAGAAGATATTTTGAACTAATTAAAACTAATCCTCAATTCACCACATGCATTCCAGATCACATCACTTGTCTTAGGAACAGAACAAAAGATAACACAAGAGATTCAAAACTTGAAATTGCAATTACCTTGTTAGCAAGCATATAAAGGCCGACATCTGCGTTGTATTCTAACGTAGAGAGCCTCTCCATTTTAGAAGCTGGTCTTGTTTTCATGACCTCAGGGGATAAACTAGGATCAAAAACACGAGCATTCGGGAAATCAGGGTAATAGAATTTAAGAACCCTTGATCTCCCCCGGTTTAAGACGACGAGGTCTTCACTTGTTTCATCATATCACTGAATAAAGCTTCAGAGGGTTCAACGACCATGACTCCAGAGTTCAGCCTCTCGGAGTGCTTCAAGTTAGCGCAAAACTTGGAGCACTTAAATAGATCCTCAATGTTCTTTACCACAATAGTATCAGCATCGAGATACACAACTGTCAAAAATTAAAAAGAAACATTAAGTATAAAACATGAGAAAAAGCTCTAGGATTGCAAAAAAAAAAACACTAACTAACACTTACCTTTCTTGTAATCAGTCATATTAAAAAATTTAAGCTTTGTATAGACACCCCAGAATCTCTTGGGATGAACTTGGTTTGGATTTGCTAGCAAAGTAATATTTTCTACTCTCCATCCATCGGCCTGCATAATCAAAATCTATCCTTTAATACAACACAAGCAAGCATCGCAATGAAACAGATTCAGCTCAAATGATAAGGAATGATAAGTAAGGACTCAAAAATCAGAATCACTTTATTATAATCTACAGCGGAAATGAAAGCCTTTTTCTTTCTTAAGACCTTTCCAGGAATATTAAGGTTGTAGAAATGAGAATCCACAAGAAAAAGCATACCTTAAGCAGCAACTTAGAGTAGTCGGAAACACCATCAGAGACCAAAACGACCATATCCTTGTGAGAGGATCCGGTGTCTCGAATCGATTTACCCAATACTCTAACTCCCAATAAGAACTCATCTCCGTACAAAAGTGTGACGTAAGCTTCCTTAGTTGATTCGGATCCAAACGAACCCTTGAATTGGATTGATAAGAGGATGATGATAACCCAGAAACTCCCGAGTTTCACCATGGGTTCGGATCTATTTACTTCACTTGCCACCGATTTTCCCGAGAGGAAAAGTTTGAATGAAAGCTCAGGCTTTTATATAAACGTTGAAATCGATTTGATGCTATTTGTTTCTTCCTTCATTGGCTTTGTTGTCGTTGTTCTGTATTTGTTTCTTAACTTCTTTCGAAAATATGAAAAGTCTTTTTTTTCCAGGATTTTATGAAAAGTAAAGTGAAAATCCCAGTCAAAAGTCAGAGAGCCTGACGCCACGCGCGAAGGAAAACATATTTCACACCCACTCGCACTTGATGCGCGTTGCGCGCGTTAAGCCTAATTCGTGGGTGTCCATCGATTTTGCCCATTTTTGGCCAAAATTTAAAAATGAGCGAGTAGACTGCGTTTTACGTTATATGAAATTGTCGTTTTGGCACTTATTTTGAGCAAATAGTAGACATGTTGCTAGCTCTATATTATTTATCGTTTGCGTTTTGTTTGTTATGAGTTGTCGTTTTACTTTTTTTTTCTCTGTGTTTGACCCGTTTTTATATCAGATCGGTTATTCTGCCGCCTTGGTTCAAAATTTTTTTTTATTTTTTTCTATTCCAGATATTTTACAATTTTTTTTTTTTCAACAGCCTAGATACCTAGAATGGTTCAGAACTTCAAACCGGAGGTACCAAATTAACATACATAACATCATGTGGGTAGATTCATGCACTTCGTGCTAAGTTGTCTGTCTTCATATTCTTTGCGCGCAGAATATGTGATATTGAAAAAAAGGTGAAAACCTCCTCACTCTTCACATATTCTCATACCAATCAACTTTATCTTATAAAATTTTATTACAAATGAATGAGAATATAGATTTCACATTTTTCATTTACAAAAATTAGATTTTAACTTGGAATGTTTTTTTTTATAACTCTAGATATTTTATCATTGTCTCCCAAAATGTTTGTATTCTACATGAAATTAACAAATATCTGACATCTCCACATTTTCAACATACATTAGTAGTTACAACCTATCAAATTTAGTCATTGGATTAATTTTTGCAATCAAGTCAAAAGATGTTCGTAAAGTATACAAACCACTACCCAAAAAAAAAAGTTATAATAATCAATTGACTATTTGTTTATTTATCTTCTGGTGATGATTACGGTTCTTTGTGTTTCCAAGTCTATTGATTATGAAAAGTAGGAGTATATGTTAAAGAAACAAAAGTTTGACACACCTCCAAATCTTAATCCAACTGTTGGGTTTAAGCAAGATCCTTAACAAAGCTAATTCTGAAGACCATCTTTCATAATATTTCTCTCTTTGTTGATACAAGCTGTATAATTAGTCATATGGTTTAATGCTTTTGCTTCACGCATTGGCTCTAATCTCTTATGGTTTTCAGTATAAGTTTGCAATTTGGCACACACGTCACCAGGAGCTCGGAGCCAGACATCTTACGAGGATAACATAAAGAAAATTGTGGAGTTCAGCACAGTGACTTGAGATTTTATTCGATTGCATCTCGTCCTTGTTGCTGTTGTATGAAAATTTCATCTTTCTTCATTTCTGACTGAGACCTGTGTGTATGGTTTCCTAGGTGGAAGGGTTTTGGGCCTGTTACTGTTCACCTTGCTCGTTCCGCTTGGGCCTGTTTCCTAGGGGACCAGCTCAACGATGCTGATAACATATGTGGAGTTGTTCTTAGTATCCGCTTCAGTGAGGATATCATTAGTGTCTTTAAAAGCAATGCTTCTGATCATTAGGTGTGATCTTACTTGTTTCAAGCTGATTCAAGTAAGAAACTGGCACTAAGTATCTCTGCTTCCTCTGGTTTTCGCAGACGTACGCTGCAAGAATCCTTTTGGTGCCGATGTTTGCTTTGTTTGTTCCTACTACAGAGCGAGCTAGAATCTTCTTTGCACTCAAGAGACTTCTCACCAAAACCATTTTCTTTCTTTCTGAAAGTCTTGACCTTTGAGGACCATTTACATTTTTTTTTTTTTTTTGCAGTGATTGATATATAAATTGCTAAATCATTAAGTGATATCTTTGAAGACTTTGTTTCGTACTCGATGAAAGATTGATCACGAATTTTTTTTTGTTCTACAACTTATAATGAATTGGTCTCTGTTACACAAAATGGCATTCACATCATCCTCTGGAACAAACTCTAAAAAGAAAAAAGAGGAGACAAAAAGTCATCTATTCACATGGAATAATCCTTCATCTCTGGTTTGAGTTAAAAAAGAAAATAAATATATATTAGTTCTTTTTTGTTGGATCATCTTCATCCTTGAAGCTGAGAAGTTATACTGATAAAAGTATCTTCAGGGCAAGGATCGTCAAGCCTCCTATCGGATGATCAAACCCAAACTCTTCTTCGAATTTACTGAGAAGGGCTTGAAACGAAGGCTGGTTCAAGAATGAGATTGGCACAAGGTGCCTCTGCTTCTTCTGGCTCTCACCGACGTAGACTGCAAGAAACCCTCTTGGTGCTTTGCTTGTTCTTGTTAAGGAGCCGCCAAGAATCTTCTTTGCACTGAAGAGACTTCTCACCATAGCCATTTTACTTGTTTTTGGAAGTTTGCTTCTTGAAGCTTATGAAGATGTCTGCATACAAATGAAAGAGATTTAAGTTCTTGATTGCTTGTAGTTGATGATGATAAAGTATTCGTTTCTTCTGTTATATATAGATCTGTGAATGAGTTGAAACTTCAAACCTGTCTGAAATCAATTGAAAACAATGGTGTCAACAAGTGTGGGACATATCTGAACAAAGTTTTCCTCACATGGTTCTGTTCTCACATTTAAAGCAGAACTATTACAATCTGTACTCACATAGGACCACGAGAACAATATCACATGTTCATGCCATCGAAGAACTTTCTCTATGTTGATTGATCTATAAATAAATCCCCTCTATCTAACCAACCCTGTCACAGTCTGTATGCAGAACCTTGATCCGATAAGATACTTAAAGAAAATAATCAATACATGGGACCAGATTAGCTAGGCCATAGAAACTTCCAATCTATATTGCATCTGTCATGTGCTCTGTTCTTGAGTAATTGTGATAGAAACATGTTGTCTAACAACTTGAAACCTGACCCCATCTGAACATAGTTTTCTCTAAAGAGGTTTGGATATTAGAAACTGGTTTTTGACCACAGAAATCCAATTCCACATCTTGACTGAAATCATTACAAGACAAAGAAACATGATAGAACAGAACTAGCCTAGTCTTTCATTTATTGAGGTAGCATTGGGTAGAGGACAGACAGAACCATGTGAAGCTCTCTGTCCCACGCTTTTAGACCACAGATTTCAAAGATCCCATAGAAACTTTCAAGTCCTTCATTTGATCTTTATGTACATCCACAAAGCAGAACAACATCTTCATATATCATCAATAAAAGGCAGTCAAAGAACTCAAAAGTTTCAAAAAAATCAAGACTTTCAGATTCACTGACCTTTGGTTAGAGGTATCTTTGGAACAAAAAAGGTTATTGGCCGCTCAATAGCAGCTGCAGCGGCAACAACAAGCAAAAGACCTGTGGGTTTTGCACCAAAAGGGTTTCTTGCAGTATACGTTGGTGAGAGCCTGAAGAAACAGAGATACATTGTTCCAGTTTCTTACTTGAATCAACCTTTGTTTCAAGATCTTCTCAGTAAATCCGAAGATGAGTTTGGATTTGATCATCCAATGGGCGGCCTGACGATTCCTTGCCCAGAAGATACTTTTCTCACCGTAACTTCAAGGATCCAAGGATAATCATCATTCGGAGAAGCTAATTAACATGTCAACGCTAAATTAGAGTTTTCTTTACTGTGTAAATCGATTAACAATTTTTCATCTTTCTTGCTGAAAGATATGTGAATGCCAGCTTTGTGTAGTGAATGATGGAATATTTCTTAGATTTTGTGCAAGTGATGTGTATCTTACAGTATACTGTAACACCCAAATGAACTTTCACCTTCCTACAGATAAAATAGAATGATCGAGGATTAAAGGAACTTAAGTTGCCACAAGATGTCAATTAAGTCTTATATAAATCCTCAAGAAGACAAGAACAGAGTAATGCTATTTTTGCGAAATCTATCAACATAGAATATATATACTACTTTATGATCCCTATTACCATCTTGCTTCTTGAATCGCAGTGAGCGTCTTCTCTCTATACTTTGCCATAAACTCTCTCAGAAATCGTTTTCTTAAGATTCATCGTGTTCAACAACATGAAGGGACCTCTGGAAGTCACCTCTGCTTCTCCGGAAAAAAGATTCCGGAAAGTTTCGGGGCTTTGAACCCGACGTGAATCGAACACGCAACCTTCTGATCTGGAGTCAGACGCGCTACCATTGCGCCACGGATCCGGATGAAATTATTTTCCTTAAACTAAATTATATATTAATAATTCTTGAACTGCCTATATCTAAAGAGTAAAGACTAGAACAGAAGCATGTTTTTTTAAGTCTTCCTTTTGAATTTATATGATTTGTGTAATCTGATTTTTTTACTGATGATTTTTCCCTCTCTACGGGATCTCAGTTTGATACATAATACCACACACCAATTACCTCTGTGTATAAACCCGGTTTGTGTATTTGTTTGATCATGCTTCTATGATTCTGTAGAAACATGACAAGTTTACAGTATATAACTGTTGATAAGAAAAACAGATAAACAAATTTGTTATATCTTTCTGGATACTTTGTTTGATTTCAGCGTTCATTATAACACAAAACTGGCATTTACTGATTTACATCGGGATTTCTAAGATGAGGATCAAATCTTTTATTAAGAAAGATGCAAAAAAATGTCATCTATCTACAGTTAAAAGAAATGTAAAAACTTTTATCTTCAGAGGATGATCATCCTTGGATCCGAGAAGTTATAGTGAGAAAAGTGTCTTCAGGACAAGGGATCGTCAAGCCGCCCATCGGATGATTGAATCCGAACTCTTCCTCGGCTTTACTGAGAAGAGCTTGAAACAATGGCTGATTCAAGTAAGAGACTGGTACAATATATCTCTGTTTCTTCTTCTGGTTCTCACCGACGTACACCGCAAGAAACCCTTTTGGTGCTGAGGTTTCTTTCCTCGTTCCAGCTACAGAGCTACCAATAATCTTCTTTGCAGCCATGAAACCTCTTACCAAAGCTATTCTCTGTTTTCTGAAAGTCTTGATTTGTGAAGCTTAAAGTTCGCAGATCGCTTATTGTTGATGGTGATGAAGATGTTGTTTCTGTTTGGATCTCTATAAATAGACCAATAAGAGAGTTGAAACTTCTCAGGGATCTTTTAAAAATGTGGTCTAAAAAGTGTGGGGTTGATATGGATAGAGAGATTCACATGGATATGTCTGTATTCTACCAAATTCTAATCTGAAGTATTTTACTACAATAAATGAAATACTGGGCCAGTTCTGTTCTATCATGTTTCATTGGTTCGTAATGACTTCTGTCATGTTTCTTGAATTTAAGATGGGGAATGAATATCTGTATTTAAAAACCAACCTCTTCAGAACAAACTATGGTCAGATGAGGGGTCAGATTTCAAGTTGTTAAACAAGTTTTTATCACAATTTATCCAATAACAGATCACATGACAAATGCTATATAGATTGAAAGTTTCTGTGGCCTAGCTAATCTGGTCCCATGTATTGATTATGTTCCTATTTTTTTTTATCTCACCAACTCCAAGGTTCTACAGACAGACTATGACAGGGTTAGTTAGACGGATTTATTTTAGATCAATCAGCGCAGAGAAACTTCTTCTACGGCCTTAACATGTGATCTTGTTCTCTAGGTCCTATGTGAGTTCAGTTTGTAGTAGCTCTAATTAGATGTGAGAACAGAATCATGTGAAATCCTAAAAAAATGGTGGTTGAGTTGAGAGAGACGGCGTATAAGATTGACGGCTGATTAAATATAATAGAAACCCAAATAATTTTTGCATTACACTGCGCGAATTGAAAATATGAAATGGAAACCCAAATAAAGATCTTCTTTACTCAGTTTCTAACCATGACTGAAAATATATCTTATTTTGTTTGATATAATTAAACGACAAGATGAAATTAAAATTAGCATTGACAAAAACATTCAATTATAAATGGATTGGGAACACATCGCACACGACAGCCGATCTTGCAGTGAAGACTTTTTGGTTGTTTCACAACGTCCTGCGTCAGAGCTTCATGGTGCAACACAGTTTCACGAGTTTCTTCCGGTAATAACCGTTTTGCCTCGGTTGTTACGATACTCATCATCACTACAAAAAAAAACAGAGCAATATGTTGTTGTAATTATTACTAAAATTCTGCATGTAAGACTGATAATTTTTTTTCTTACGTAAGAAATATGAAATTTACCTGACGTAACGGTTAAGAAGAGAATGAAAGCAAGTTTCATTGATATTCTCGCCATTGTTTTAGATGTTGAAGATTATGGTATTCGATCAAATTGTGGAGACCTTTTATAGAAGGATTGAATCAATGGTATTGAGCTAGTCAAATCAAATTTTTTGAATAAATTAATTTCTTACCGAAATTGTAGGGTTGATTGGCAAAGTGCTAGGAGCGGTAGTGCTGTACACAGCCCAAAATAACTATAGATGCAGCCTTTGAATTGATCAAATCATGCTCTAGCTTACCATTTGTTACCTAGAGCAAATATATATGTTTCCTCTTTTTTTCGGCGGCAGAATCAGTCACTTATATCCTCATATTTGAGTGCTTGTGTAACTAATATCTATAAAATATACCAAAGACTAAATTCATATTTATTACCAAATTCAATAAATATACATCAAGACCAAATCCCGATACTGAACCTGGAAAATTTAATACACTTTGACTGAAAATGGTGATCGAGCAGAGACACAAGGCCTTTAAGGTTGACGACAATCCGAAAACCTTAAATAGTCAGATTTAAAGATCGTCTCTTTCTTTCCACCCGTTTTAAAGAAGACTTCCATGGCTGAATATTTTGTTTAAATGGGAAAATGGTAAGAGCTTGAGAAAGTATATAGGGTTTTTATTTTATCCGTTTTGGCCTTGAAAGTCTACTGGGATTCAACCAAAGATCATGGAAAGACAGAAAGGTTGCTTTGTGTGAATTCCATCAGTTGCTTGAGTCTGCAAGAATCTGAAGCTAAAAGGCATTACTTGCTGGATTCTCTTGAAACCTCAAGAACAAGGTTTTCAACGAAATTAGGAGCTTAGATTTTTCACAATTCAGCAGAAATTTATAGTCATTATTGTGCTAATATGAATAAATTTTCCCACATGGAATCTTATATTAACAAGTTTTCACCAAATTTAAATAAATAAAAACTGGCTCATGCTTTTCAAACATGATTATATATTCTGATTCTTGTTGGCTTCTTGAAGTAGTTGAAGTTTCTGCATGGCAGTTAGAGGTAAAATAAAGGTATCACCTCGGAAGAAAATTTCAAAGCTTCTTCGGTGGCCTTTACATGTGATCTTGTGGTCGGATATATATAACATGATTGTTTGTCAGAGATTTCTTGTTCTCTTAGTAAACAAGTTAAGGTCCCCACTTAAGTTTCTTAATGAAGAAAAACGTTTGTGTCCTACTGTGTCATCTATGATCATATTCATATCCAGATTACCATCTGGAAAAGACAGACCCCTGTGATAATTTATTCTTCTCTGTCCCACACTTGTTAATTATTGTTTCAATTAATTTCAAACATGTCTCAACTCATTCATTTGATCTATGTATATAAAGCTTCAAATGAGAAAGAATTATCATCAACAATCCAATATCTACGACTTGAATCTCTTTAGTTCCTCCTTCGATCTCATACTTCTTCAAGATCTTCACGTCTCAAACTTCCAGACCAAAAATGGCTTTGGTAAGAGGTCTCTTTAGTGCAAAGAAGATTCTTGGTGGCTCTTTAGTGGGAACCAGGAAAGCAACTTCAGCACCAAGAGGGTTTCTTGCGGTGTACGTCGGTGAGAGCCAGGAGAAGCAAAGGCACCTTGTGCCAGTCTCATTCTTGAACCAGCCTTCGTTTCAAGCTCTTCTCAGTAATTCCGAAGAAGAGTTTGGGTTTGATCATCCAATGGGCGGCTTGACGATCCCTTGCCCTGTAGATACTTTTATCAGTATAACTTCTGAGCTTCAGAGATGAGGATGATCCAACAAAATGACATTAACATTTGTTTTTATTCTCAAACTAGAGATGCAGAGTTATTCTGTAAATAGATGCTATTTTTTTCTCGTCCTTTCTTATTGGAAGAGTTTGTTTCAGAGTACTACAAATTTCAATGTAAATGCCACTTTTGTGTAACAGAGATCAAATCAATACAAGTTGCAGAGACCTTTTTGCTAATAAATTATTCAACGAATAGAGTGAAATACCTGCACCTGCAAAAATGTAAAAAAGTCTTTAAAGATTTCTTCATTGCATTAAATCTTGAAATTGAGTCAGTCATAAGAACTAAGATGGAACAATCGATCTCTTTTTCATATCTCTCTTGCTCTCCAACGTAACATAGTCTAACCTCTTTTGAATCTCAACATAGTTAAAGAGAATCTAACAATTTTTTGCTAGCTGTTGTGTCTATCTTTTTTACTGGCGTCTTTTCTTAGTTACTCTGTTTTATAATAAAGACAAAAAACTTTTAGTTGTGCCCCTGAGGATGTGAAGTGACTTTGTCTCTCATCAAATCAACCATATGACTTCGTCACTGGGACCCTCCATTGATACATCATGATTGTGTTCATCATCATACCAATAGCACAAAGAGAAATAAATAAGAAAAAACTCAAGCCACAGAATTAAGTTTCCTTTATAGTGAAATTCACAAAAAAATAATAAAAAATTAAGAAAAAGGTTCCTTTGAGAACATTTTCATGTGATCCTGTACATGGATATGGTTGAGGACAACTAAATTAGTGATTGATACTCTTGGTTCTGACGGTGAACAACTTCATGTCCCCACATAAGTTTATTCTTATAGAAAGATTTGGTAATGAGAAATCAGTTTCAACCAGAGATTGCGAGAAGTGGAAAAAGACTCCCTGTGAAACATGAAGAAACAAAAGCATATGCCAATATCTTGTTTTTTTCAAGATTACCAAAAACATAACCATGTGAAACTCTATTCATGCATGTCCCACAAAACATTTCGTCGATCTATATATAGCAACCCAAAACAGAACCACATCATCATCTCATCAACAACAACAACAACAAGTAATCCAACAACAACAATATCAACAAAACAGAAAATCGTTTCGGAAAACAGAGAATGGCTTTGGTAAGAGGTTTCATGGCTGCAAAGAAGATTCTGGGTGGCTCTGTAGCTGGAACGAGGAAAGAAACCTCAGCACCAAAAGGGTTTCTTGCGGTGTACGTCGGTGAGAACCAGAAGAAGAAACAGAGACACATTGTGCCAGTCTCTTACTTGAATCAGCCTTTGTTTCAAGCTCTTCTCAGTAAAGCCGAGGAAGAGTTCGGATTCAATCATCCGATGGGCGGCTTGACCATCCCTTGTCCTGAACAAACTTTTCTCACTGTAACTTCTCAGATCCAAGAATGATCACCATCTGAAGATAAAAGTTTTAACATTTTTTTTAAGTGTAGATTTTTTTTTCCTCACTTTTTTTAAGTGTAGATAGATGACATTTTTTCATCTTTCTTAATGAAAGATTTGATCCACAGCTTAGAAATTCTGATGTAAAAGCCAGTTTTTTTGGGTAATGAATATGGAATCAAACGAAAGATCCAGATATATTTCTGAGATTTGTTTATCTGATTTTTTTTTAAAACAGTTATATACTGTAAAATCCAAAAGATTTCTAGTTTCTACAGAATCAGAGAATCATTATCAAATAATTCTGAGCCGCAGAGGTCATGGTGAGTGTGAATCCATCAAAGGAAGACCCGGTTTGTTATTTTCGGTTATTGGGGAAAATATATTTCGGTTTTACGAAATTCTCAACCAAACTAATTGAACATAACCGAAACTATGACTTTGAACCGACAAAACAATTTGGCTTCGGTTGCCGGTTTGTTATTTACCGGTCAAACTAATCGTACAGAACCGAAGCCCATATAACCATAAACCGGGAATGTGTCGATATATATAATAGTAAACCGAAATCTGAGCCGGTTAGTGGTAGTGGAGAGTCGAGTTCGTAATACATATAAGCTGACGACTTTGTCTGTTAACAAAGCAACCCTCTCGCAGGAAAATATTTTCCTCTCTTCGATTTTCTGGAAATCTGTCAGTGAGTTGTCTCCTAGTCTCTCTCTCTCGATCTGCCTCTAATTTAATTCAACTACTTGTTCTCCCTGCACGGGTTTTTTGTTTCTTTTCTCCTGGAAACTTCGATTGAGAAGATGCGAGTTTTTGATACATCGCTCTAATCAGATCCTAAGCGTGCTTCGTTTCTCTTGCAATTCGAGGCTGTTTCAGCGATGATTTTCCTCGTTTGACCCTGGATCTCGCCTTGAATCCTTCGTCTTGGGTAAACTAAAAATAATTTAAGAGAAGGAGAAGCTCGTTCTCGGGTTTTTGTAATTCCAAATTCTGTGTGTTGTGGAGAGTTTAGCCACTGCTGGATTTTGATGCTTGCGAAAAATTTCCGCTATTTTGGTTTCAGGGTTCTTTGATTTGGGTAAAGAGCTCGATTTTCGGGCTGGTAGGAGATGGTGTTCAAATCTAGAATAAAATGGATTGCGCTCCTTGTGATGATACTATCAGTGGGATCTCTGCTTGTTCATCTTTCGATGACAAAGTCTTCAGGTGTACAGTTGGCTTATTATGCAAGAGATACCCTTTGGCAAGATTTTGATTCCTTGTTAGGTGCAAAGGTAAACAAAAAAAAACGACGACGAAATTGAATGTGGATTCTGGGGGGTATCAATTTGAATAAGTGATTGAAGAATGTCGTATGCCTTTGTGTTTACTGTTGCAGGATTTTAGAAATAAACACTTATGGAGGCCTGTCAAATCGTTGGAGACCTTGCAGCCCTATGCCAATCCAAGAAATAGTTATCCTGGTACTATACCAAATTTTGTTTGCATGCACAAACTGCATTTAAACGAGTTTTTAGATAACAGAATTTAGAGTTTTAGCTGCCTTGAAGTGATTTTTTTTTTCTTTTCTGCACCGGTTATTGTCGCCTCTTTAAATGATCAGTCGCATTCGATCTGGAGTGTTACTTTTTTTTTTTTTTTTCTTTCTCATTTTGCATCAGACTATTGATGGATATATAAGCCATTATGGATGCTGTGTGTGTCCGAAACTTGTTTTAACAAGAATTTGTTCTTTGTAATCTTTCGAATTTTTAATTTTTTTTTTCTTGGTACTGTCTCTTTGCAGCTCCTACTTCAAAAAACAATGGCTTCATTTATGCAAAGATATTTGGTGGATTTGACAAGATAAGATCTTCTGTATGTATCAGTTGACTCGATAGCTTAAAATTCCTCTTTAATCTTCTGTTACGCATGTTGATAACATCTTTGCAAATTTTCTAGATATGTGATCTTGTCACCATATCCAGGCTTCTAAATGCTACTCTTGTCATTCCAGAGCTTCAAGAAAGTCTCCGCTCAAAAGGCATTAGGTACGCCTAGCTCTGTCCATTATGTTTTTTTTTTTTTTTTTTAATCTTTGCACGTTTCTTCATTATTTTCTGTTAAAGACTTAAAGCCTGTTTCTTTATCTTGGTATTAGACTCTTCTTTACCTAGTGTATTTTTCCATGCTATGCAGCAACAAATTCAAGAGTTTCTCCTATCTTTATGATGAAGAGCAGTTTATATCCTTTCTTAAAAATGATGTTATAATTGCGAAGGCCCTCCCCGAGAGCTTGAAAGCCGCAAGGAAACGGAATGAGTTCCCTCTTTTTAAGCCCAAAAACTCTGCATCACCAAAATTTTACCTTGAAGATGTATTGCCAAAGTTAAAGAAAGCTAATGTTATTGGATTGATCGTCTCTGATGGGGGATGCTTGCAGGTACTGGTTGCTTTTTTTCTCCCTATCTTGTATGTATGCATTAATTTATAAATCTATAGGGATCTCTGAGTAGATATCTTTCTGCTTGTAAACCACCATCACTCGTCAGATCACGTTCTGGTCATTTTCATAAAAAGAAGTTGGTAAATTAGTTATACTAAGTTGTCTTGTTTTCAGTCAACTCTGCCAGATTCAATGCCTGAACTTCAAAGACTAAGGTGTAGAGTTGCCTTCCATGCCCTACAGCTTCGTTCAGAAATCCAGGTTCTGGGCAAGAAGATGGTTGAGAGGTACTTGTGATACTTGCAATTTAAAATTTAATTGACGAAAACAGGAGATAGTTATGGCTTTGGATTATTTAGGGTTGGGGGAAGAACATTGCATGCTAAGCTTTTTCTTTATTTAATGATGGAGTACATAACTGAAAAAATCTGTAATGGATAAGGCCTTTTTTAATTTAGCTCCTGATCTTGCGGTTGGAGTACTACGTAACTAAAATGATTATATCTATGTGTCACGATTTTGTCCATCAACCACTGAAAACCGCGTGTCTCTGACAGAATTGAGGTTATGTGTTTCACCTTTTCCAGGTTACGTAAATCAGGTCAACCCTTCCTAGCTTATCATCCTGGCTTAGTGAGGGACAAATTGGCATATCATGGTTGTGCTGAGCTTTTCCAGGTAAAAGTTTTCAACCTTCTCCATCTGTATTTTTCTTATAGAACAAAGTGTTTATATCACATATGCTTACCTTCTGTCTACCCTTTGTGGTCGAGTTACATAGGGAAGTAATTATAAACGGTGAAATCGTTTTCTGACTCTACTATCGTTTTAATTCTTAAAGGATGTTCACAGTGAACTCATCCAGTATCGGCGGGCGCAGATGATTAAGCAGAGGTTTATTTCAGAAGAACTTATTGTAGACTCGCACTTGCGCAGGGACAATGGCTTATGTCCTCTCATGCCAGAAGAGGTAGACCCGGAGCTTCTCTCAAGTTATGCTAAAAATGCTTAGATCCACTCATTTTTATATCTTGATATATTTCTGGTTTCATGGTGTCTCTTGAAACCTGAATCTACCTCGGAAAAATGTGGCCGTCATGTAACACACTGTTTTCAAGCCTGAATATCCTTTATGCTGACATTCGAATATGAATTGGATCGTTTCCTTACTGCTGTTCTGATGGAACTGCATTGGTTTTTGTGATGCTAAGAGTTCATCGGTATTGAAATTTTGCAGGTTGGAATTCTTCTAAAAGCATTGGGTTATTCTCAAAAAGCGATTATATACTTGGCTGGTTCTGAAATGTTTGGTGGCCAACGTGTTTTGATCCCTCTGCGGGCCATGTTCCCGAATTTAGTGGATCGGACTTCTTTATGCAGCACGGAGGAATTATCAGAATTAGTTGGTCCCGAGACACCTCTTCCAGAAAATACATTTGAAATGCCTCCTCAAAAAAGCGATAAGCAGCTCAAAGAAGAGTGGAACAAGGCAGGTCCTCGGCCTAGACCTCTCCCTCCTCCTCCAGACAGACCTATCTACCAGCACGAAAAAGAAGGGTGGTATGGTTGGCTTACAGTGAATGATACAGAACCAAGCCCTTCACCTATGGATCTTAGGAATCAAGCTCACAGGCTACTATGGGATGCACTTGATTTTGTTGTATCTGTAGAAGCTGACGTGTTTTTCCCTGGTTTCAACAACGATGGTAGTGGGTTGCCAGATTTTTCAAGTTTGGTAATGGGTCAGAGGCTGTATGAAAGACCCTCGTCACGAACATATAGACTGGACAGGTAAGCAAGGTTCTTAATCGACAGTTAATGACTGCATTTTGAAATTGAGCTAGAGCTTGTTGGCTTTAGCTGCCTTGTCCTTAGTCAGGTTGAATGAAGATATTTGGTCTATCTATTTGGCTATTACACAGATCTTATACTTCGCTACTTCATGGAGTATCTCTTTTGGAAATTCATTAACGGCTGTTTACTGATTTTCTCAAACAGGAAAGTTATTCAAGAGCTTTTCAACATTACCCGTGAGGACATGTACCATCCCAACCGTAACTGGACAATGCTTGTGAGGAAACATTTTAACTCAAGTTTGGGTGAAAGTGGGCTTATTAGGCAGTCTATGCTGTCGAAACCCAGGTTGTTTATCTCGCATCCACTTCCTGAATGCTCATGCAGAACATCGGCCCTTGAGGATTCCAGACAAATACGAAGTGATGATGGCAGATTTCTCTATGGAGGTGAGGATGAATGCCCTAAATGGATAAAATCAGCTGGGGTGGAAAAGAGTAAAACTGATGATGGTGATCAGCCCGATTATGAACATGACCTTCTCGCTGAACAATCAGAAACTGAAGAAGAATTTGCAAAAAGTAAGGTGGCTTCAGCTTTTGATCAGGATGAAGAATGGGATCCCAATGACTGACTAGTGTGACAATGATGCAAGTTCTGCCGAGAGGTGTCATTTGATTTTTTTTTCCAAGATTCTTTGAGGAAAGGCGAAGAAGCAAACAAACGGAGGTTCTTTTCTTGATTTCTACAGTTTCCGGCTTTTTTTTCGTTCTCCTTTCTGAGAATAAGCTTATAGTGTTATTCTTTTGTTAGTAGTTCCTTATAAATTAGTTGCATACTCTTTATACATCAAAGATATTGGTATTGCCTCCAAGCGCCCTTCTGCAACAAAGGAAACCTGTTATGCTTCATCCTTCTCTAAGGTCTTTCCATGAAGCAAATGTGAAGCTGGAGATATCTTTTGTTCTTTTTCTCATCATTGTAAATCTGATAAAGGGTGAAATTCAGATTCTTTTGTCCCTTTTTCTCCAATAGTTTTTTTTGGACACTATACAGATATGACAGATAAACGTAAATTTTAACAGAGTTTTAATATTCACTTGCTGTCTCCTGGTTTTATCTACATGCATATTTCATCAGACTGAGATGTTTGCTGAGAATCTTTCTAGAATAAGTTGCATAACTAAGTCAAAAATTCATACCCATGGCAACAAAATGGAGATATTTAGAGGAAATATCAGAATCATGAAACTGAGTATGTATTTAGAGGAAACGTGATCATAGATATGGTGGTATAGTGTACTGTTTAATATGGCGTTCGAGTCTTTAAAAGTAAAGTTAAAAAGACAGAAGTGCGGATGCAAAAAGAAAGGCCTAAATGTTGTATTGCTGGATGAATACAAGGTATTATGCCTTTTCCATCCACAAAGCAAGAATGATTGAGCAGAAGAAGCAGACATGCATTATGCAACTTATTCTAGAAAAGCATTCAAACCAATAATCAAAGGAGCGTATATGAGAATAGAAACTATACAGCTCTCGCAAGTGTGGGACTCCACCAAAAAAATGGAGGAATAGTTCCACTGAAACGATTATCTTCCAAGTGCCTATAGGGAGAAGGGATGAGATTAGCTTATGAGTCTTTGTTATACTCATTTACAGGAACAAATGTGCACCACAAGCAGTGAAATATATAAAAGAATTATCTGCTTACACTGATTCCAGCAATTTGAGTGATCTGAAGTCAAGTATACTTCCCGAGAGAGGAATTGTTTCCCAGCCAGCTGTTCAAAGCACACGAATATCAAAAATGATGTTTTTGACGTTCAGTCATATATTCACTGTCAAGGTACTTACATGGAGGACAATGCTGTTAATTTTCCAATTCCAAACGGACCTTCCACACTCTTTACAATTACGACACACCCCTCATCTTTTAGATCATTCTTGGACAACTTCAACTTTTTCAGATATAGCTTTCCTGCCAAACAAGCTTTATTTCTAATTAAAATTCCTCTGGCCAAAGAAAAGAAAAAAAAAATCTAAAATCATATTACTAAAGTATTTCAGTTCTTAGTACACTTTGATTGTCTCCAAAGTCTCTTTTGTTTTCAGTTTTGATCCCTCGAATCAAAACTGGAATATAAGATATATAAGCAGAGCTGCAGAAGGATGGTGATGCACTGATGCTTATAGCTCGGCAATGATAGTAATAAATATAAACGTTTAACTATGATTACCAGACTTCAATCCAAAATAATGATAGTAATCACCTAATGATATCACTCATATCAGTCCAAAATAAATTTAAAACTGAACTAAATAAGTAAGTTTATCCAATTAGTGAATTTATTTACTTATCTGTTTTTATTGGTCTGAAATTTATTTTATGGAAGGCCCCTTAAGGCTCTTAACAAAAAAAGGCTGTAGAAAAAAAAAGCCTGGACAAAAGATGGAGGGGATATTTCATTAAGGAAAATTAGTTGAGGGGTTTTAAAATTACAAAACTAGTTGAGGAGTTTCTATTCGATTCATCTTTAGTCGAGGGATTTTTTCACTAAAAACCTTTATTTATATTGATAAAGAGAGAGGTCACGTGATGTTCTCATGCGAATGTAAATAAAAGAAAAAGTCACGCGCAAGAAATATCCCAGTCGCAGCATGTGCGCGTTGCTCGCGTGTCGCCAAAATCGAAAGGTTAAGCTATCGATTTTGTTCATTTTGAGCCTACACGCGATATTGAGTAAAAAATGAGCGTGTGTACTGCGTTTTGCGTGTTATCATGCTGTCGTTTTGGGCTCGATTTTGATCAATTTTTAGCAATTAAGAGACATATTCCTATATGACACTGTCCGTCAAATTAACATCAATTATATCACAGTATATGCGTTTTGCTTGTTATCCCTTGCCGTTTTGATTTTTTTTTTTCTTTTCTTTTTTTTTTTCTTCAAAACTGGTCGGATCTCATTTCGCCGATTAGAGACTGTATTGGTTTCTCCGGCGTACACGGGAGTTTCGTTAGCTCGAACCAGCCTAAAGAAGGGTGTAAAGTTGTTTCTGAGGTTACGCAGAGAGGGAAATGAGCTTGTGCCATTGTTGTCTGGGTATAGCGCGAAGACGAGAGAGAGAGAGTTTGATAGAGTTTGTATCGAAGCTACGCATGGTTTTGTATTGCAATTGGGTTTTCAGCAATTCAATCGTTTCAAGCTCCAGCTTTAGCTGTGCCCTTCCTCGGTGATGTGTTATGGAAGAAAAAGAAAGAGAGACACTGAGAGAAAAGGAGTTAGCTTTGAAAACTGTTGATCATGAGTTCTCGGATTATACTCGGAGAGACAGTCTCGGTTCTACTCAAGAGTATTGACAAGGTCAGAAGCGGAACTGGGAACGGCTTTAGTAAAGGTGGAGAGTGAGAAACTAAGCTCATTATTAAGATTTCCCTTTCACAAACTAAGCTCAGACACAAACTGGTAAAACTCATTTTTTTTTTAAATGGTACCAGGAATCTGCATTTCTGCAGTTTACTCGGATGATTGCATCTTCGAGGACCCGACAATCAGCTTCCAGGGTGAGGAATTACATAATCCTTCGTATGAGTTTCGTGTGCTTCCTCTGCAATTTCAGTTTGGTGCTTCAGTGATAAGTGTATCTGCTTGAACAAATGTAGATTGGTGGGATCATAAAATGGTTTTATGATGGTTTTAAATGGTTTTATCATCCGTGTCTTAATTTAACACTTGCCGAAATGGTTTTAAATGGCCATAGCTAAATCTGTTGGTAACATGTTTTTTTTTTCTTTTTCTGTAACCGTGAACTAGGTAGGAGGAATCACTCTACAAATAATGGAAAAGGCTCTGATACAGGCGAAAGCTGGGCGTCGCCATAATCTTGGTAAGAAATTTTACGGGGTATTCATGAATCATTCATCTCAGAAGACAGCTAGAGTTCGGGAGATATAGTTTCCAGATATTGAAACTGATTATCCTTGAAAAAATGTATGCCCTTTGAGTTGTAATTTACTAATTTTTTGTTTTCTCTGTGCAGCTGAAATGGCAAAGTGCTCACCACCTCCTACGTTGAGTCTCTCAAAATACGCTCCGTTGATTCATATTATGAAGGTTTGCCTTCAATTCATTTTCCCAAATTATTGCCTTTAACTAAAGTTTGTTGGTGTTTCATGTACTGCAGGTCCATCCAAGCAAAGTATACTTTCTTATTGGTTCTGGTGGGAAAAAAAGTAAAGAGCATCACTGAAGAATCCGGATTTGAAGCCATTGATATGCAAGATGATGGAATTGTGAGATTTACAGAATTTTGCTTCATTGTTCTAAATTTGTTTTTACATCATCATATGCTTTTAACATGTATCTTTTTTCAAGGTCAAAATTATGGCAAACGATATGGCTACTCTGGAGAGGGCGAAAGCCATTATCAGTGGATTGACAATGGTTCCAGCTGCTGTTGGTGATATCTACAGGTATGTATTTCTATACATGGATTTGGATTCTGACCTTGCTTCTTATGAAGGAATTGTGAAATCAAATCAATGGCTCCTTATGGTGCCTTTGTAGAGATTGCGCATGGACGTGAGGGACTTTGCCATATCAGTGAGCTGAGTGCTGAATGGCTTGCAAAACCCGAGGATGTGAGCATTAGCCATTGATTCCCTTCCAATATTCATCTTTTATTCAGGCTTTCACATTTGCACACCCACATTACTCTTCATTTCAGGCATTCAAAGTAGGTGAATGAAAAAGGTCAGCTTCGGCTTAGTTGTTGAACACAGAAACATGGATACTTCGTCCAAGGACCGTGCAGCTGCAGGAGCATCAAAAGTTGCATCTGTGGATGAACTTGTCCTGAAGAAGAAAGATGCCAGGAGAGCAGCCAGTGGTGACAAGCCAATGAAAAGCAATAGCAAGCAGTAGCAATGAAGAAGAGAGAAGCAGTTTAGTCATTAATGGTTTAGCCTTGAACCGGTTTAATTCCTCTTCTGGTTTAGCCTTGAACCGGTTTAATTCGTCACCCTATGTTTCATTATCCTCTCTTAACCGGCGACGATACTTATTCGACAAAAACAAGAAAAGTTTTTACAAAGTGAGCCTTTGGTGGTATAATTTTAAATGGGCTAGTGAGCCCATGGACTTTTAATGAAAGAATCAGTAGGCTAAGTAAGAAAAAGTCAGAGCACGCGCAAGAAATATCCCATTCGCAGCCGGTGCGCGTTGCGCGCGTGTCGCCAAAATCGAAAGGTTTTATAAACTATCGATTTTGTTCATTTTGGGCCTATACGCGATATTGAGTAAAAAATGAGCGAGTGTACTGCGTTTTGCGTGTTATGATGCTGTCGTTTTGGGCTCGATTTTGATCAATTTTTAGCAATTAGGAGATATGTTCCTATATGACACTGTCCGTCAAATTAACATCAATTATATCACAGTATATGCGTTTTGCTTGTTATCACTTGCCGTTTTGATTTTTTTTTTCTTTTTTTTTTTTGGCTTCGAAACTGGTCGGATCTCATATCGCCGATTAGAGGCTGTATTGGTTTCCCCGGCATACACGGGAGTTTCGTTAGCTCGAACCAGCCTGAAGACGGATGTAAAGTTGTTTCTGAGGTTATGAAGAGAGGGGAATGAGCTTGTGCCATTGTCTTGGCTATGGACCCTTCCATCAAGATCCAAACTTTTGGAAATTCTATAGGCTCTGTTTTGCTTAGCTCAGATGATATGTACTAGTGAGAGAGATGAATGAACCCATGATCCTATTAATATTCTTTCTTTTTCTTCTTAATCTCAAGTCTTACATCTTGTACATATGATGGATGCTCTATTACCAGTTATCAGGTAGAGAAAGCTATAAAGCAGAACACAATTGTCTTCTTGGAGACTGGTTCTGGCAAAACCCTTATTGCCATTATGCTTCTTCGTAACTAATTTCATTCCTGTAAAATTTGTACCAGGAATCTTCACTTGTACAGTTTACTCGTGAGTAGTACGAGAGCAATTGTAACACTTAGCTCAAGCGTTAGCTTAATATATTTCTACTGCTCAAGGCTTCCTTTCGATGAGTTAGTCTGATACTCATTAGACTGAGAATCTGAGATGTTCACTGAAATGGTATTAGCTGTTGGCTGTTATAGAATAGTTAGTTAATTCCATTCAAAAGAATACATCATTTTCATAATGACAGTGGAAGGATGTTGCTCGATGCGATGATACATGTATGTATATGCAAGTTATACTGTTGTAGACAGAAGCTCCAGAAACAGGGCAGAGGGAAGAAATCCTAAGCCCCATTTTTCTGTGTCCATGGTTTGAGAACAGATATAACGGTAATGATGATGATAATAAGAAGGATGAGTATGGCAATGCACATCCATTTCCTTGAACTTCTCTGGCTTTTTATTGCCTTTGTTAGGTTGTTGTTCCCTGATTGAACATGATCCACAGCGCTCGAGACCTGTTAGAACAGAAACAGAGTAAGAAGGGTTTTGAAGAAAAATCTAAAACTCAGGGCTTCATCAAAAGTAATGAAAGAGAATGTTACCATATTCTCTATGTTGTCTAACATCTCTCCCTGTGCATCCACCAGCACGGCCATATCAAGAAACACCTACAGCCAAAAGCATAAAATAAGGCGCAGATGATGCATCAATTCGAAAATCTTGTGAGTTTTTGGTATAATCGGATCAAGGTTTACCTGTTGTAGGTCAAGAAGTTTCTTCTCTAAATCTCGGACAGCGTCATGGCGTTCCTGAATCTCAGCTAGTGTATCCATTATCTGCATAGAGTCAGAGAATAACATAGCTTGAGATACACGCAACAGTTGCCTTGTTACAGAAGTCGTCATGTTATTGCGGAAACATTAGTACCAACCTGACCTCGTCCTTGCTCCATGATTGCTTTCTGGAAAATCTGCTCACTGTCTCCGGTTTCAATCAATCTATCGACCATCTACACACCCGAAAACGATTATCATGAACCGATGCTAAAACCGATCCAACAGATTTAAATTGAGAAAAAAGCAGAGTTTTATGTCCTTGCCTCTTCATCAGCTCGTTGGCCAGTCACTACCATTATCAAGAATCGAATCACGAAAGAAGAAAAAAAAAAGTTAGCTACCAGAAGATCATTAATGGAACAGTTGAATCCTTATATACACTGCTTTTTAAGGAAAAAAATCAAAACCTGTAAACACACGCCTCTCCACAACTTCTCTGTATTCTTGGTGAATGTTCTGTCTTAGAGTCTGCAGTGTAAATGTAAAAGCTTACGACAACTTCTTAGAGAGTTTTTGCTTTTGAGAATTTGTAGAAGCACTTGTCAAAACTTACTTGGAATTCAGATATCTTGTCCTTAAACTTCTTTTTTACCGCGCTGCGGATTAAAATAAAAAAAATGCGTTAAGGAAGAACGAGAATCTTGAAGGGTAGTAATAGATTCAGGGAACAAAACTCACATAGTTGTGGCTGTTCTTGTTCTGTCTACTCCAGTTCCTTTCCCACAACCCGGTCTACTCCGGTTCTCCAGATTCTGTTAAAATTAATTTGGGTCTTAAACAAAACGAATAGATCATAGCAATGCATTGATCTCTAAGCCTAACCTCTCGATCCAGTTCTTCGATCTTTCCTTTGATAAAACGAGAGATTCTTCCCACTTCATCAACATCTCTCTCCATCCTCTGTTTGATTGCTGCATCACAAAAACACACAGAAAAAAAACCAAATTCATATAAAATCTTGGATCAAGAACTTGTTTCTGAGTTTTTAATATCAAACTTGTTTTGGATTACATTTCATTGCAGGAGCCTTAGTGACGGCCTTAGTCTCCTCGTGTGCCCCCTGAAGCTTCTTGAGAAGCTTGTCAAGCTTCTCATATTGCTTTTCGATTTCTTGGACCTAACAGTTAATATGATATCAATAGAAAATACACATTTGACACTGATTGAGAAGAGTTACATTGAGATAAACAGCTCACCTTTTTGAAGAAACCAGAGAGCCCGAGATCGCCAGAATTACCTGGTCCATGTCCTGACTCGATATCGCTTCTATTAGATCGATCTCTGGAGAATTCTAACGAACCCTGTCCAAATAAAACATTTGTCACATCATCTTATAAACCCTATGAGCAAATTTTGAATATTTATTTTATCTCATTGTATCTTCCATTTCAAGTTTTATTTTATCATTCTGCTTCTATAGACGGTTGTTTTAACCTCATAGGAGCAATCAATCGTCAGCTACTGGATTTTCCCCGGAAAAATGTCGAACGAACGAAATGTCATCTCGTTAGTCTTTTAAAGAATTAAGATCTCTCACTTTTTATATAATCTACGCGGGATCGTTTTTTTTTCTCTTGTTGTTGATATGTAATAATGGAAACGTTTCCTGAACTAGAATAAAAATCTTCGTGATCACTGATCATGTTATGTCCAAAGCGAAACGGGCAAAAGTTCGAAGGGAGAGATAAGAGACAAACCTTTAAGAGGTCGTTCATTGTCGGAGAACTGGATTAGAGAAGAAAATCTATAAATGGGGAAAGAAACTTGTTGAACAATCAATCAAATTCCGAATCCAATAAATAAAATATATCTAAATAAATAAAATTCAAGAAATGGCCACAATTAGAAATTAGAAGGAAAGCAAACCTGGTTTTTTCATAAACCCAGATCTCTCTGTTCTCTTTCTTTTTGTTTTTCCTTTTTAATCCTAAGAATAATAAAAAGATAATCCAAAGAAAAGAAGAAACAAGGAGGCGGAGCTTCGTTACCGTATAAAGTATAGCACAAAGATGAAATTGTTACAGACACGTACGGTTAGGGTCAACGGTTGAGATTTCTTTTCTTTTTTTTTTTAACAACAAAAAAATGGTAAATCTTGTTGTTGACAGATCACTGATCAAATCTTTTAAGTCAAACTCTTATTTTGGGCCAGTAACGTTAAAAAGAAGAATCAAACCAAATACAAAATAATGCCTGTATATGCAATCGAATCTTTCTTGCTACACAAGGAAGCCTAACATCACATGTATATTCGGCACGTAACATACGGCACTTTGGCCCCTAATGTGATTTATGATTGGGCTCATAAGTTATATGTATGTTAGACGTAATTCCATAAGACAGTACTTTGTTTTTGGCTCTTTATAACAATATTCCTCTCGACTTGAAAAGTGGTCAAGAGAAATACTTTTCTTTTTTGTGTAAACAGTTGCAAATTTCATAAACTACAATTTTTCTTTTACGTTTCAGAATTAGGTGGACATTCTAAGTCGAACATTCGGCTACAGAAATGTGAATAAGATCATTAAAATGATTATCTAAGCTTTTTATTATTATTTCTAAAGAAGTACATCTAAAATGGCTTGTCAAGACTAGTAAAGAGCTTCAGGTACACCAGTGATGTACATGAACATAAGCATCACTTCTACAGCTAACAAATTGAAAAAAAACAAATGGCTAACGTTTTCAGGGGAAACCCAATGTACAGTGGAGACAGCATCTGTACAAGTAAAACTACGGCTACAACACTTGAGAAATGAGACCTGTTCAAGGGTAATGTCTCATTCTGTCATTTTGTCATCACTCATCATGGCTGGTTCCTGACTACCTTCACACTGCTGTAGAAGCGGCGCAAATCCTTCATGGCTTTTTCTTCGACCTGGATAGAGCGGATTGATGATGGAGCATCGGTCTCTGGTTTGTACCAGCGGTTAGTTGCAGGCGAATCTGATGGAGATCCTTGCCCGGTTGTAACAGTGAAGCCTGATGTTTTTGTCTTTGGACTATGAGACAGAGACTGTTGCTTCTTCACCTACAATAGACCCCCAAACAAAAAAATTGAGTTCGAACAGAGGCAACAAAACAAATATGTTTCTTTTGAGCCTTTCCCAAACAGAGGAACAACTTACCTGCTGCATCTGGATATCTCTGAGAGAAGGTCGAGAAATGTGAGGAGGAGTTTCAGAAGAAGCCCAAGGAGGAGTTCCTCTTTCCATATCAGATTGCTGCAAACTTCTGGCTGATTCCACAGGAATCGGCTTCGAAGTCAAGAACGAGCTCAGTAATATCTTTCCTTCCGTTTTACCAGAAGCCTCATCCCCCAACTGATGTTTACTAGTCCTAACAGGTTCATGAGGATGAGTCTTGCTTTGTTCGTCTTGAATATCCCGAAGAGAAGAAAACCCCTTTGAAATCTTAGCCCCACCCCATGCAGGACCTTCGTTCTTGGGCTTTGGTGGGGGAGCAACAACAGGTTTAGGGATATCATCAAGAGCACCAGTGAGGAACATGGAAAGCCCTCCCTTTCTGTTCTTCTTCTTGTTTGCTGTCGTTGCAAGTTTCTTGCTTCTCGGTGAATCAGGTGGATTTTCTTTCTTCTGCGAGAGTGAGACAAAGTCTGATTCTTTGGTGAACCCACTTATCATCGTCACATCCGATATGGCATTGCCATCCTATTTAGAAATAGCAAAAGGCAAAATGATTCAACCGATGCAGGTAACTAAATGTGACAAAACCTCAATAAAGGACATTTCATCATAAAAGATATTATGGGTACTAACCGTTGGCTTGATGGATTCAGAGATTTGCTCGGTGCCTTTATTCTGCATTGTATCTATTTCCACTTTGACTTCACCAAAATCAAGGAATGTTTCAACTTGTGGAATTCTCTGTTTTCCCTTTTTCTTCTTTTTTCTCAAACCGTCAGCCTTCTTGTTGGGCTTTCCATCCAGTGCCAAAGCTGATGCTGATTTTGCCTCAGGCGGCTCTTCAACAGGAATACCAAGTTCTACCAGTGAACTTTCGATGTCTAGTTTCTTTTGAAGTTTTGCTATTTGTTGACCATCAAGAAGTTGTCCTCTAGATTGCTTTGCTTCAAGGATCTCAATTTGTTGCAACTTTTTCCTCAAAGCACGGACTTCTTTGGAATTACGTTGAGCCAGCTCATCTTCTGGTTGTAAGAAGGAATCCATCCGAGAGCCTCCCTCAGCAATACAGGAAAAGTGTTTCACATGGTTGTCACGAGATCTTAGAATGTCGCTCTCACTTTCCTCCTCTTCACTATCGATAACAACAGGAAATGTGGCTGTTGGTGTTGGAAGTGGTCGGGAGCTCCATGGTTCAGATGATCTGTTATCCAGTAATTTCTCAAGACTAGCAAGAACATCAGGTGATGTATTTGCAATTGCTTGGGGACAAGCTGTCAATATAAAGTCAAGGTTCCGGATCACTATGTCCTGTAGAAAGAGAACACGGTGTAAGGTAATCCTCAGAGAGAACATCAAAAGAGAACACTAAACTCAGAGACAGAGAGAGATAAAAAAAAAACATGAACTTCTCTTTTTTCTATTTCTACGGTTAGTGTGCAATCATCATAAAAGAAGGACAAGCATACCTCACAGTACTTCTTAAGGTCCTCTGCTCCAAGTGAATCTGCAATTTCAAGCAGTTGAATAGCATTTCGCGGCTCTACTATACACTCCGCTGCCACTTTCTCGCATAAACTTTTCAGGCTAGGCACTATCCTCTCCTTCGAACAATCGTGTTGCGCGGATGGTAACACATTAAAAGATTCCACATCATCAAACATAAAACCCTCGTCCAGTTCTTCGTGCTCTTCTTCCCTACTTTCACCCGCTTGCACAGTCAGAGACTTCTTGAGCACAGTAGGAGCATAGGCAGGATGATACAGAGAACCCACAACCAGAAGATGTGTTTCACCAACAGCAACTGTGGTTGCCCTTTTCAAGTTGTGGATGCGAGAAAGAGATGGCGACAGATCTTTACCTTTCTTCCCATCCCACAAGTAAACTTCACCTGTGCTAGTGACAGCGGATCCCCAATACTTACCTGCTGAAATGCTCACAACTGTTTTCCCGTGCAGTGAAAGCAACTGCAGGATTCAGATTTAAACAGAGAATTTTTTATATTTTATTATTAATACGGGAGTCATATTGAGTTACTTAATTTCGTAGAGAACAGAGAAGTTGTATCCAACCTGTTGGCATCTAAGATTGGAGTCAGAAGAAACCCAATAAAACAATGGACCATCTTCTGCTAGAGCCATGCTGTGTACCATTCCTGCAGCAATTGCGGTTACTCGAAGAGGCCTCCTTCGATGAAAATTCAATAGTGTATTCCCAGCTTTCTTTAGATTCCGGGAAATAACAACACGTCTTGGAGTCACCAGCCGATGACCCCAGGAGTACACCTGGTCACAGAAGAAAGAAAGAAATACTAAAGAAAAATAAATATTTATCCAGATTGAGTTCTCATATTCGAAAATAAGATTTTCCACATGGTCGGTCATGCATTCAATTAACTAAAAACACGCACATAGTATCATAAGACGTTTAACTTAACATGAACTAGTCAGAAATTTACCTCTCCATCTTCTCGCAACACAAGAGTATGATATTTTGCAGATGCAATAGCCGTGAAAACTTTTCCTTTCAAGTAATCAACCAATCTGGGAAAATAGTTTGATGCTGAGTTGGAGGTTCCATAACCAAGCTGACCTTCCTTGTTGCATCCCCAAGTGAAAACTTCACCGCACTCAGAAACTACGGCTGTATGTTTGTTTGCTGCAGAAACAGCTACAATCTTCGCCTTCAGCGAAGTCACTTTGCGGGGTGTTGCCTGAGTATCCACAGAGGTATAACCTAGCTGGCCCTCTACAAGAGCATCACCAAAAAAAATCAGACTCTAGGATAATAAAACACTGTGACGCGACCCACGGAGATTGGACATAGCTCCATCAAATTCAGAGGAATTAAGAAACTGGAACTTGAGTAGGTTAGAGCGCTAGAGATCCCAATAACTGAAAAATAGGAAGCCTAACAAATGTTTTACCTCTATTGGAACCCCAAGTGAATACGTCCCCGCTTTCTGTAGCAATAACAGTATGGTGCTTAGCTGCTGCAACTGCCTTTACTCGGCGAGATCCTAAACCATATATCACCTGCCGGGGAGTGATAACTGCAGCTTGACCACTGAGATAGTAAAAACAGAAAATTAAACTCAATCTTGGTTTACATAACCTCTCAAAAAAGCCTAAGGTAAGCTTGAAACCAAACTTCTAGCATTCTATGATTATATGTACATCTATAATTGATCTTTTCATGTTCCACCAGAAATGCAGTAAAGCAAATCTTGAAATACAGTAATTCCACAGGCAAATGGAATTTTTCATATAGATACAACAAACGGAATTATGAAAACTTTGTAGGAATGGAAGCAAAAAAGCTCCTTGTCGAGTCACCATATTAGAGAATAAGCAACAATTCATACCTGTGAATGTCGAATTCAGGATGTCCAAGGCGGCCTCCTCTTCCAAATCCCCACGTGTAAACTTCTCCATGAGAACTAACGGCAACGCTATGGAATTTTGCAGCAGAGACCAACTTAATGAAACAACCATGCAGTGAATCAACTCTGCCGGGTAGCTTCTGAACATCTTGATTGCCAGTTCCAAGTTGGTAGTTTGCACCATTACCCCAGCTAAAAACCTCTGTAGCCACTGAAAAGAAAGAAAATGAGCAGGGTAATTCAGCTTCTCAAAAGTTGTGTGAGAAAGAGTGACCAAAAGATTAAGGTTTTTTTAAAGGTCAAGGTTGATAAATAGATTAGCTACCTGAATTATGCTGCTCACCAATGACCTGAGCCACCGGACCTGAGACCAAATCAACCGGTGTTCGCGATTTTATGTCTTCTAGAGTAAAAGAAGCACCTGAGTCAATTAGTACACTAGCCACAGCGAGATGGCCAAAATGCAAAGCTCTGTGAAGACTACTCCAACCAGATTCTCCATCCTGAAACGTATATTGTATAATATAGAGAAAGCTCAAGCCTAAGCAGTATGAATACCCTATTTTCAACACACATGGCACAGAAACCAAATACCATAATGAAAACAGAAGCACATTGAACGCAGTAACTACAATGATGGAACTTAGAATCAAGACTATAAAATGAAGAAAAAAATACTACGATATATGAAGACACAAACAGAAGAAAGGTCACAAACCCTAGCATCAGGATCAGCGCCAGCAGCAAGCAGTCTCCTAACAATAGGAATGTGGTTTCTCCAGATTGCAATATGCAGAGGAGTCAGGCCATAGGCATTCCTTAAATTTATATTGCCACCGCTCTTCTTCAGTATGTTCAACGCTGATTCCACATCAACCAATGACCCTTCCCGTATAGCAAACCACAAATCTTTCTTAGATCCTGAAAGAGAGCTTTTACGAGGAGTTTGCAAGTTCATCTTCTGGGTTTGAGGAGAGACTGACAATTCCATATCTCTAGACGGTAAGAATTCTCACTAAACCTTGTTCGCCACAAATGTTTTCTCTAGATCAAAAGCTTCCAAACAATCACACTCGGTTTCACAACTTAACTAAAAGGACAATCAAAAGGATTTGTATTGCCCTCTACGGAGTTCCATGCCATCTAACTTATGCTAGAGCTGATTTTTCATCTTGAACGTGATTCAAACAAATCACTCAGGTTTCTGAAGAAAACGGTTGTGTTACTCAAATCTTCACAATTTCTTCATAAGAGCGCAGAAAAGTCCTGATCATAAAAGACAAGAAGATGTAAAATATATTGGATTAATAGCTTCTGCGAGAAACATAGACAACAAAGAATAAACAAGTTAAAAAGAGTTACGGAAAGCATCTCTCCTTTTCTCAAGGAAAATAAAAAAGAGAGAGAGAGAGAGACTAATACTTCCACCAACCACAGAGCAAAGAATCTCGTTTAGTGTTACTCAAACAGGACTAAAGACTAAAGAGGTGTGCTGCACTAATCATAAACAAGGATCTCTGTAGTAAAATTGGACACAATTACCAATATCAGTCCATGAATGAAACACAACACAAAATCCGAGGAAAAGATCGCACCTTTCATACTCAGAATAAGATTAACTTAGATCTCTTATCAGTGTTTAAACAGAGAGAAAATAATGAGATATATTTTCAAGCATTTGGTGGGCATACTAATGAGGAACTCATTAATTCATAGATAAACTCACAGAAAAGCACACAAATCGAGAATGACAAACAGATAGAAGACACAATGACCAGTAGAATTCGATCGAGAAAACAGGAAAGACATCAAATCACGGAATATTACCAGTTTTGGAAGCAACCATCACTCAAAATCAAGACTTCAATATCATACAATTCGCCTCATTTTCCGATCACCCCATCGGGAAAAAAAAGACAGTAAATAAAACCGTTTTCGATACTTTTAAAAAAAATCTTAAACTGCCATAGAGTTTAAAGTAATCAGACAGAACAGAAAGATAAAAAAGGACAAAAAAAAACTAATTCCCGGTACCTGAAACCGAACTCCGGTGATTTAACAGGAGAGAGAGACAGAGAAGCGATCAAAGAGAGGTAGGTACTTATTAGAGACAGAAGAGAGGATAAATGAGCAAAATGGAATCTTCTATGAAAATTTCAATGTGTAAAGAAGCGAATCAAACAGAGAATATACCCTCCCATAGAAGCAGAGGCGTAAATATGTTTCTGAATGGGCGAGAGAGAGATAGGTGGAGAGGAGAGATCTCCGAGCCAAGGGTAATTCAGTAATTAAACAGATAATTGAAATGACGATAAAGGCCCTTGAAGTTGATGGCCTTTTTTGTGTTCATTCAGGTGAGAGTTGTGACGTGCTAAAGACTCGGAGAAGAGATGGAGTCATCTTCACTCATCTCTCTATAGCCCACCTAAACTGGTTGCTTTGGAAAGGAAGGCTCCTACTGATGACACGTGGTGACACGTGCGACATGTCAGAGTTAGACAAGGTCATTCACAGTCATAAAATGTCTGAAACTGAGGATACTTCTCTCGACCTCTTTTTTAGTAAAAAGGAAAAATAATATTTAAGCTTTTTTTGTAGCCTTTCAATAAGCTTGTATATGTTCTGTGTTTCACTTTTTCTGCAAACCATTATCGTTTTTTCAAGAGTTTCTTTGATTAATCTTTAATCATTGTTTTTTTGTTACGGATAAAAAAGTTTGGGGGACAAAATCGTAAAACAAAAGAAAATCACCAGATGCTAAATCATAGGAAATGAAAATTACTGAATCAAAGGTATAACGTGACGCGTCAGCAATCGTGACAAAAATCAGCTGACGTGGATCTCTGTGAATGGACCTCATGTATTCTCTCTGCCAGCCAAAAGGTCTACGTCACGGACCTTCTTGGACTAAACGGTTGATTACATCAAGCAAATTCCTAATTTTACAGTTATCTCATGAAATCATAACCTTCAATTCAGACATCCCTTTTGTATTAATTCAAAATACGAAAATGTATTTTTAGTTTCTTACTTAAATGTCATTACGATTTGTTTTTGTTACAGTAGCTCTACATTTTAAAGTGTAAAACCATGCAACTTTGGTTTTAACCTTTTCATGGTCTCAGATGAATCTTATCCTAGTACAGCCGAATGATCTTATAAAATAAACAATATTTTCAGTGAATTATTAATTCTACAACAGTAGAGATTTTGATATAATCTTTCCATTTGTTGGGCTCTGTATGTGTAAGATATAAATCGCCAATTAGCCATTCTCATTCAAGTGACCAAAGAAACATATTTCATCAGAGAAAACAATTTAAGATACATATAACATTGCAGCAAAAGAGAAATATAAAAGATGAAACCATAACCCTCAAGAGAGACTCATTTCATCAAAAACCTATATCTTGGCTAAATATTTTCTTGAAGAAAAGTTATTGAAAACTTAAAAACCAAACAAGCACAAACCATGTAGAAAAATCCTGGAAATAGAAGAATATGATATCTTTCACTTGGCACTAGCGAGCTGGGAGCGGATAAGCTTGGCCGCATCAACCATGTTCTTAAGTGCTGGCTTAACCTCAGTGTACTTCCTTGTCTTCAGACCACAGTCAGGGTTAACCCACAAGATGTTCTGCTCGAGAACCGCAAGCATTTTGTTGACCCTGTCGGCAATTTCTTCTGTGGATGGTATTCTTGGAGAGTGGATGTCGTAAACACCAGGACCGATTCCTGCACCGTACTTCACTCCTTCACGGAACACCGAGAGAAGCTTCTCGTCTGAACGAGAGTTCTCAATGGTGATCACATCAGCGTCCATGTCGATGATGGAGTGGATGATGTCGTTGAAGTTTGAGTAACACATGTGAGTGTGGATCTGGAGAAAAGAAAAAGAACCAATTAGAAGTTAGTTACAGAAACAACATTCATCACTGTTTGAGATTTAAGTGTATATTTACCTGAGTGCTGTCTTCGACGCCACAGTTGGTGATTCTGAAAGAGTGAACAGCCCAGTCCAAGTAGAAAGAGTGTTCGGCTTTCCTAAGAGGCAATCCTTCTCTAAGAGCGGCTTCATCGATCTGAATGACTCCAATACCGCCTTTCTCGAGGTCTTCCACTTCGTCTTTGATAGCCAAAGCGATCTGGTAGCAGGTTTCGTGCCTTGGCTGGTCGTTTCTGACGAATGACCAGTTGAGAATTGTGACTGGGCCTGTAAGCATACCCTTCATGGGACGTTTAGTCATGCTCTGAGCTGTTGAGGACCAGAAGACTGTCATTGGCTTGGGGCGGCTCACGTCACCGTAGATGATCGGTGGCTTCACACAACGAGATCCATAGGATTGCACCCATCCGTTAGCTGTGAATGCGAAACCTGACAATTGCTCTCCAAAGTACTCAACCATGTCGTTTCTCTACAAGTTTTTGTTAAAGCATTTGCTCGAGTCAGAAACAGAACGGCGTGTGATTAGTTTTTTGTGTTTCGGGGATGGTTTATAAACTCACCTCAGGCTCTCCGTGGACAAGAACATCGATGTCAAGTTCCTCTTGGATGTCAACAACTTTCTTTATCTCTTCCTTGATGGCCTTGACGTAATCCTCTTCAGAGATTCTAGTGGAAGAGAGATCAAGGGACTGCAGTTAGCATCATAATGATCAAGTTACTAATATTGCTTGCCAAATAATTGTGTTTAAGAGACTAACTTCTTGGCCTTGTATTCACGGCGAACCCTCCTGAGTTCCACGGTCTGTGGGAAGGATCCAATGGTAGTGGTAGGAAGGATTGGAAGGTTTAGCTTCTTCTGCTGAGCATCTAGCCTAGCGCTTACTTCAGTTGCACGACGGTGGTCTGATCCCTTCAAAGCAGCAGCCTGTGATAACAGGAATTACAAATCATCAATGTCATTGTAGAATAAGGCACTGAATGTGAATAAAGCTTGAGTTTGACGCAAGAACTTACAGCCTTCTGAACAGACTCGTTAGTGACTCTTGGGGAAGACCTCCTCGAAGACAAAGCCGCAGCGTTGGCAGAGAAGAAAGCCTGAGTTAGATAAACATTAGAGAGTTGCAATGTTTTTCAAATTCAGAGTCCACTAGAGATATTTTCCTTGTAAGATTTTTGCAATACCTCATTCGTCTGACCGACCAAAGCCTTGGCCAATGCGTCAACTTCAACAACCTTCTGGGCAGCAAAAGCTAACCACGACTTGATTTCAGCATCGAGCTTAGTCTCGTTAACAAGGTCAACGGCGGTGTGGAGAAGGGAGCAAGAGGTCGAGACCACAAGCTTGTCTGCATCAATACAGAAAAAATATAATTAACAAGTTTAAGAAAGATGATAAATCAACATTTCTAATTGAGTAATCCACAAGCAGATAATTATGGAAAATGAAAAATTGTACCTTTACCAACAGCACCCTCAAGTGACTGCAAGGTAATGAGAGAGGCAGCGAGGTCATTGGCCCAGATGTTCCTTCCGTCAACAACACCAGCAAAGAGGTACTTGCCCTTGGGGAAACTAGACTTGATCAAGTCAAGGGTCTTGGTGCCACGAATCAAATCAAATCCAAAGGAAGTCACACCCTTCAAGGAAGTAAGGGTCTTGAATGCTTCAGCAGGGACATCGGCGAAGTAGGTCTCCACAAGAACATTCAGACCAGAGAGAGTTGATTCAAGCTCAGCATAGGCACCGCTAAAAGCCTGGAGTTTGTGACCCTCAAGATCCATGACAAAAAGAGGCTCATCAAACTGAATCCAGGTGGCACCAGCTCCCTTAAGCTCTGCAATCACTTCCCTGAGCACGGATTCATCATTTTTCAGAGGCATGTCAGAAACATATTATATAGCTTTAAAAGTAAAAGCTCCAGGGTAATGTCTTACTTGTAGATTGGGAGAATTTTGGGGAGAAGGGAGAGAAGATCAAAAGACTTGTCAACACCCTTTGCAAGCTTGGAAAGAAGCAAGTAAGAGACAGGGCCAACAAGTACAGGGACGGTCTCAACACCAAGCTGCATAAAAAACACCGCTTTATCATATTAGAAATTTAAATAGAAGAACAAGATAAAGCCTATGCTCAAATGGGTACGTACAGCCTTAGCCTCCTTGTACTCATTCACAGCCTTGTGAGATGCGTAAGAGAATTTCACTTCAGGGCCCAACTCTGGGACGATGTAGTGGCTTCATCAAAAACGAAAAAAGAGCAAAAAAAAAAGTGTGTTAGCCACAGAATTTTCACATGTTCAATAAGAATGATGTCCAAGGCACAAGATAATAAAGAGCAGAGGAGACTCACTAGTTGGTATCAAACCACTTGGTCATTTCCATGGCAGGAACAGAGGCGTTACCTCTGGCCATGGAGAAGTAAACATCAAAACCGATCTCGCCACTGTTCCAACCGTACCTGGGAGGAACAGCACCGAGCATGGCGGTGGTATCGAGGACCTGGTCATAGTAAGCAAAGGTGTTGCTTGGGATGTACTTAATCCCAGCAGCAGACATTTGTTTCCAGATGTCAGACCTGAGATCAGCTGACACCTTCTTCAAATCCTCGGCAGTGCTCTTGCCATCCCAGAATGACTCCAATGCGAACTTGAGCTCTCTCTTAGGTCCCATACGAGGATATCCAACAATGTGGGATGCCATTTTGAATTTTTTTTTCTGTTTTTTATAAACTGCATTTAAACGAAAAACAAAATCGAAATCAGCCAATCACAGAATAAAAGGTAAGAACTTTAGCAGCTTTTGTCATATTCAGTGACATCAAAGAGACAAGTCCACTTAAAGGCAGAGTCTTTAGCGTTAATAAGATCAAACAACACAATTGATAAGCGATAGATAATCGAAGGCAGAGGAGAAAAAAAACAGAAAGCAATCAATCATTTGAAGATGATGATCAGAATCATAACTACTCAAACAGAGACCCACGAATCCAAAAACATCGAAATATGTCCAGATCTGTGATTCATAAGAGTCACTCACCGGATTAGATCTAAGTATTAAAAAAAATCAACGCGAAGAAACGAAATACGAAATTGAATTGGTGGGGTGGTCCGAGAGAGGAAAAGGAAATGAAAAGCGAGAGGAAGCTAAATAAGAGAGTGAAAGGGAGAGGAGACAGGAATGGTCATGCGGAAGCCATGGAAACCCGAAGGTGTAGCTTACCTTACGGAGTTGGAATCGGAGATAATATGTGAAGAGAGATGGCAAGAGAGCGACGATGGAGAGTGCCTCTCTTTGCTTATTTATAGCAAAAACAATTCTTCACCCCTTCCTTCCTTTTTTTTTTATTCTCTCTTTCACGATTCTATTAAATAAAAAAAAATACAGATTTTACGTGATACATACACCGTATATAATAATGTATAATATCAATATACAAATATGTATTTTTTGGTATATGATAAAAAATACGTATTTTCAAGTATCCAGCACGTTTTTAACTCTGGCCTTATTTTTTTAGCCTGAAACTTTATAAATAAAGGGCATATGGTCAATTTTGTACAACTTTTGACAATTAAACGTTTATAGTGACTGGTTATATTATAAAGGTAAATTCATTGACGGCATCGACATGGCACTACATTTCTAAGCTTGTTTAATTAAAACTTGAACACATACATACTTGAGTTAAATGTATTTTGTAAAATACATACAAGTATAGGAGTATTAAGTAGAGGGTTAATTACGGAGTTAAAACGTGAATATGGGGGAGGAGAGTTGGTGTGCCAAGGAGGTAGCGGGATTGGTGGGTGGAGCCCACATTTGGGGTTGGTGAGATTCACACAATTAATTTTGTATTTCTATAAAACGACGACGTTTTGAGAGCCACTACTAAAACTGCGCCACACAAATTGAGAGATTTGTTTGGTAAACAAAGTAGGTGAAGGATTATGAGATCCACTTCCCTCCCTTATAGTTATAGGCTTCTTCATATATATCATATTATATATTGTTGAATAATGTGGTTTTCATCTAGTGCTGAATCACTGGAGAACAAAGAAACTATAAATCCCTATATAGGGTTCATAAAACTTATACGACTATGTAAATAGAGTTGATGAGTAATGTATTTGGTGCCAGATAGATAGTTATGTGGTCGCTTGGAGACGTTAAAAATGTCCCCGTGATTGGAAAATATTAAATATTAAATTAATTTCTGTTGGCTTTTTAAACATGTTAGTAACCATGCAATATATTAAGCAGCCTAATTTATAAATGTAGACAGTTAAAAAAAAAAAAAATCAAGAGTCGGACATATTCTTCTTTGTTGATGGTTTGAGCACCAAACTTTGAAATTTCAAACATATTAACCTTTAATATTCGATAAAGTGTCACAAAATTCCACTTGATGAGGATTAAACGTGTATAATGTATGTAAAGAAGTCTAACTCTAAAATGATAAACTATGTGAGTATAGAATATTCCGTGCTCTTTTTGGCCGACTGCTACGAATATTCTACGTTTTAAATATCGTAGTGTACCAGTTAGAAAAAAAAAATATATATATATATATAGTAGTGTACATTACTACATTTTACCCTCTCTTATATGTAACTTGTTTTTTTTTGTTGTTAAAGTATATGTAACTTGTTTTGTTGCAAGACCATTTAGTGTTTTAAGAGGAGAGATAGTCTGTACTTTTTTAATTCAAAAATCAACACTTGCAATCTGACAAGACGCTTAACAAACAACACAAATGTAAAAAGAAAAGCCTACGCATATTGTTTGGGTGAATTTAAATCGTTTGAAAACACTTTGCTAACGTTCTCTTAATTATGAATTGCTAATCACAACAACAAAAATATTATAATCCGGTATTTATATTAGATTTTTTACTCTATATCCAACATCGGTCAAATCCAAGCATTAGTACATGCATGCCTTCCCATGGTTTTGTCTCCTGTCGGTGGATATAGATCTACCAATACAAACATAATTAAATAACAATCACACCAGCAGCATTTATTGAGATTTTTGTTTTCCTCTCGCTAATGCCTGGTGTAGCCAAACCCAAATGACGGCAAGATTTATGTATCACATACATTCGTATTCTTTTTTTTTTGTTCAAAATACATAAGTATTCCAAAGTAAGGTATTTGACAAAATATTTGACACTAAAACTTATCTGTCCTGTAAGATACATACATACTTTGATTTGATATGGATATAGATATATATGTATTAATCTCCTAAAGATACATATTTAACTAGCAAAAAAAAAAAAAACATATCTGTATAATCACACAGAGATATAGACATCTTTTGGCATGGTCATGTAATCCTTGTCCACAGAAACAATCCTGCAAGCAAGAACCCTTGTATAGTTACATATCCGACAACATGGACTCGAAAATCTATAGAAATGAGCAATTTATGGAACCAACCTTAGGCAAGTGCAGAAGAAGATCAACAGAAGCATCCGGCTTTGCCATGCAGAGATTAAAGCCATTTGGCTTCTTAAAAATTGAAATCCACGCGAAACTGGGAGCTAGCTCTCAAGTAAACTATGAATTTACAAAGCTCGAATTTTTCACATTGACAATATGCCCACGACGGACACGGAAATGAAGACAAGGAAAGAGAAAAAATTGCAGAGAGAGAACCGTAATCTATCCGAAAACATCATAGCTTTGGCCGGAATCGGTGTGTTGAGAGATGATCCTTTGAGTGTTCCTGCAAAAGGAAAAGATGGAAAGCAGCATAAGGAGAAAGCGATGATAAAGATGAACTAAAGAAAAGAGAGGAAGAAAGGAAGTGTCGAAGAGAAGAAGGAAGAAGGTGAAGAGAAAAGTCAAAGTGAGTTAGTCAAAGGAAGGAGTAGTTAAAGTAACAAGTAGAGTTGTTAGAAGTCCTAGTCAAAAACAGTTGTGTAAGAGAGTTTATGAGTTAGAGTTAAGGTGTAGAAGTGATGACTAGTAAGAGTAGTTAAAGAAGAAGTTCTATAAGTACTAGAAGAATGAATGTAATGAAAGTAGTGAGAAATCATGAATGAAAAGCAGAGTTAAGCAAATCGATATGCAAAAAAAGAGAGAGAAAAGAAAACATACGAGTAAAGTTCAACACGGTGTCGGCATCGTCATCGGCGCCGCTAACGGCGACGTTCCCACTCTCGTCGCCAATCCTAACGCCGATACTCAATGGATCAACTCCGATGTCCTCTCAACACTGTCGGGAACGAGCTCCGTCTAATCACCGTCGGGAACGAGCTCCCTCTAATCGTGAAATGCTAACTAAAGTTTTCCAATTTTCTCAAAAGAAAAAAATCGATTGTTACAGAAACGCTGGCGTTTTGCCTCCAAAATGATCCGAAACGCTGGCGTTTTGTCTCTTCCAGCCTAATTTGGCGAAAAGATATATCCCAGTCGCACCCACAGCGCGTTGAGCGCGTTAGGCCAAAATCGAAAGGTACTCCTTTCAATTTTGCTTGTATTTTGCCAGATCGCGGTCTTGCGCGATTTTTTCGCGAGTGGACTATTATTTTATTAATATTTTTTCTTCCGTTGCGTTTTATTTGTAATTGGTTTGCCGTTTTGGTCTAAATTTAGTGAAAATAGTAGCATTGCTCCTAGCTCTACATTATTAACATCAATATATGTTATTTGCGTTTTGCTTGTTATGAGTTGTCGTTTTACTTTTTTAGAGGTGTCCGATAGAACCCGATGGCAACGACAGTGAGCTCCGAAAGAAGAAAATTACTCAGACGACGAATCTGAGTGATTGAAGCGACAAGTGAGCAAAGACTTGATATGGGTCTTTGAGTTCAGCTATCCGATCTCCATTTCAAAGCAAATTTGAGAACAAAGAACTTTAGGAGTGTGATGCGAGCTAAACAATCTCTGTGTGTATGTATTTGGTTGCAAAAATTCTGTCCTGCATATACAAGGTAAACTTTGAGCCCCTTACTTTTATTCGATAATCTCTAGTAAAAGCTAATAACATCACCATTGACAAATGCACCAAAATGGGTCTTGTCGAATTATACTTTTACCTCTTACATTCCCACAGTTATGTGATTCCTAATAATCCAACATTTATGTATAGGATGTTGTTGCTGCATTTGAGAATTGTGAAACGTACAAGTGCAATGCCCTCTACAGGTTTGTCGTCTATCATCTATGGGATTCCTAAATGTCCTCTTACGGACCATCCTTTTTACTTCTCCAGCTCTAAAGTCTGCAAATGTTTTTCAGACACTAATGCTCTTTTGCTTTGTCTTTACTTCACCAATGCCTCAGCTCCCACAGTTTCTGTGGACAACACCACTGGCTGTCAGTTATATCTATGCAAAGACTCATTAGAGACAGCTATAACAACTAGGCAACCAAATCGAGTGAGATCAGTGTAATGGTGCTTGTGTTTACTCTTGGGATGATCGGCGTGGGTTCCTGTGTTTCGCTCGGCAAAAGACGGTCTGTGTCTTTTAAGCACGACGGTAAAGTCTGAGACTTTCTACTCAGTTTTTTGAATTTTAGATTCTTGTTGATGAAGAGTTGTTTCTGTTGATCGGTGGATTGTTCAGGAGGAGGAGGAGGATTTTTTGAGGTGAGAGACTATGGAGTTCCTGATGGCTGATACTGTCTGTCAAGTCAATCTCTTGGTGCGGAGAAACATTTGCTTAGGCATTAGAAAAGAGTATGTGATACTTAACACTGCAAAATGGAACACTCTCTGAGGTTTTTACTTCTGGTAGGGTTGCTCCTTTGATCAAAGATCATTTGATGTATGTTTCCCGCGTGATTACGATGTTCATTATCAATCAAACGCTGTATCTTTTTCCCAAGCTTGATTTCAATTGTATGAATAACTAGTTGGAAATAATTATTCAAAAAGCCATCTTTTTACATATGCGAATTAATGTAAAGCTATGCTGTGTTGTTACTGCTTTTGATTTAGAAGATAATAATATGCTAATTAATACATATGTTTAAGATCTATAAAATATTCAAGCACAAGCTTCACGCATTAGTTAGAGCTAAAAATGAATCTGAACAATTTAAAAAAGACATATAATAATTAATTGGTATTAGAGTTCACTCCTTGCATTACTTACTACTAGTCACATACCGGACCAAACCTACAGTTTGCTGCGCACCAACCATACCAACAACAGAAAAAGAAAGAAACAAAAAAAATTCGCCGAATTCAGTCACAGAAACTAGAAACCACATGTATCATAGACAACTAAAGCTGATTGCCCTAAGAAACCTATACCAAAAGTAAACCGCAGGAACTAGGTGTTCGGTTTAGTCAGGTACAAGACAAAGCGGATCATCCTAAACCACTCTCCTTCACTTCTTTATCTTCTACCTTTTCTTCAGCTTCCGAAACAGAGTTGGTTGGTTGTTGAATGTTGATGGTTAGCTAGTTGATTCTTGCCTTTTCCAGATCTGGAAGATCTGAACAAATACAACGTTTTATGTAAGATCAATCTTAACAAAACGGTCCAAAGAATAAATTCCGCTAAAACTTTTGGTCTGAAGCACAATGATCCATCAATCTTCACTTAGTCTCTAGTACTTGCAAGTAAGAAGATTAAGGTTGTTGAAACTTACAAAGCAATCCATCATCATCGCTGCTATCACAATCTTGATCAACAAACTATAAAAATAAAGAGTGAAGATAATCAAACAGAGTGGCTTGGCTAAACAACAATCGAAAGAAAGAAACAGTTATGAGAAAACGCTTACTGCACTCTCATCATCGGAGGCTGTATCAGCTGAAAAAGAGCCAAAAACAAAAAATAGTCTATAGTTAGAAACAATTTATCTTGAGATTTTATCTCTGTCTTTTTCAAACGAGGTTAGACAATAAAACTAAGATCTATCATATGCAAGATTGGTGTAAAAATACTTAATCAAGCATTTAAGAAAAAGAGACAGGGCAGGTTGGGCAAGGGAACAAGTAAATTCATGAAGATTTGGGATTATCCTCTAGATATTGAGCTTAAATGATAACTTAGTACGACTTACAATTGACCTCCTCATCCTCATCACACCATTTATTCCAGTCGACTTTAATGTAAGGTGCAGGTTTGTCTTCTGACTTCAGAATTCGTGGCCACCAGCTTCTCTCTTCTTTCTGAATTGAAAATATGATGTTCCTTAACCCAACATTCTTTCTATATTCCTGCATCATACATAACATAGGACACTTGTAAGAAGAAGTATGTGTCGATATAAAAATTAGAAAAGAATCTCTACACCTGGAGAGCATATCTAAAACGTTTCTGAAACCTGCCTTCTAAACATCAGGTCATAGTATCAAAAGGTGGGCAAACTTTTACATATCGGTTTAAATTCAAAGCAGTGATAGCCTGCTAGTTATTCTCATTTAAAGTGAGAAATGGCACTTACTGGCACAATCTTCCCATAAAGCTCCAAGCTGAATTCAAAGTGTTTGCCTTGAGCACCAATAGCAGAGAAACTAAATAGGCCCTGAGGCTCACATCTGACTGAAATGTCCTTCGCATCAGGTAAGGCGACGGTTAGGTAGACCTTATCAGAACGCTGAGCCCAAAGAACCTCCGGTTTATGACTGCGTATACAGGACAAAACAGCAGTTATAGTTATACTGTATTGCCACCCAAATACACAACCAATCCGTCCAAACACATAACTAAAAGAAAAGATTACTTGAAATTTTCATATGACGAGGTTCTAGTACAAAGATTTTCAATCTTGAATTTGAGAAGTAAAACTAAAATCCAAATTTTTATATATATAAAATATAGGCATGAATGGTGAAAGCAGACATAAACATGTTAAGGCACATCAAAATGCAACTATGAAAGTGTTTCAAGTGAACGATCTGGGTAATTTCATAGGAAATCATTATCAAAAAAAGGTTTTTAAGATCTGTGGAATAACTCTTTTAACATCACAAAGAATACCATTCCCCATAACTGACGATAACAAACAAAGTTTTCGTCAATAAAGTTCGAGCTTTTTCTTCCGGGAGCGTACTTCTTAATCACTAAAAGAACATTGAAGTACTTGTACTGAAAAACCCATTAGCAGACTAAGTAAAAGACGGTGGCTTTATATGTAGATCACCAATCACGCAAAACTCTTTGTATTTATCTCTTCAGGTTTAAAAGTTCATCAGAAAATCTCAAAAACCCTAAAAATCGAACAGATACCTCATGTTTGCCAGCCAATAGACGGTGCCGGAAGTGTGAACGGAAGATGGAAAGACGGCGATGGGTTTCAAGAGAAAGAGTGAGCTTGAAACAAAACAATCATAAGGAAAAGATTCTGGGAGTGAACAAGGTAAAGATCAAAAATTCTACATTCAGCCCCAATAGTTTTTAATTATTTCATCTAGATCTAGAGAAATCACGAAATTATTCAAAAAGGCAAAAAGTTTTCTACTTAAGTGCCAGAGCCCAGAGGCAACTTCCTTTATTTTCGTTTTAGTCCTTGGATCTCTTCTTCTTTTTTGTCGTAAATTCAGCCAGCAGAAATCTATTAGAACTTATGAGACATCCAAAAAAAAAAATTTATTTTAATTAAAAGTTATTAAATAACAAAAAAAACAGAGATTTGTAGACAAAAACAATTACTACTCCTATTATAAAAGACAATTTGAGCGATATTACCATTTTTACTTTCAATAATAATAATTTATTAAAGAACAATAAATATATGTTTAATTTACTCTGCTACTAATTAAACTAATTACTAATGGACATACATTTAGATTGTACAGTTACTTGTAATTACGATGATACATCTCTTACCAAATGACTAATTAATCAACCCGATATAGTTTTTTTTTTGGTCTATAAATACAACTTTCCAAGCCAAAGAAAAAAAAAAACATAATTTCACAAACCCTTTAATCCATGGCTTCTTCAAGAAATAATCATTTCAATTTTGTGTTACTCTCATTTTTAATTATCCTTAAAACATCGATATCTTTTAGAAATCATTCGTCCACAGATGGATTATTGCCATTTGCACCTAAACATGTTGTGATTATTAACAGGATTAACACACGCGCAACATTGATCTTACATTGTATAAACAAAGGAAAAGATCTTGGGATAAGAGCGGTCCAATTTGAAGAAAGTTTTGATTTCAAATTTCGTGTCAACTTCCGTAAAACAACAAGGTATACTTGCACTTTCAACTGGCCTGGACATAGAGCAACATTTGCTATTTTCAGAGTAGATAGAGATGATAACCCAAGAAGTAAAATTGGGGTATGCAGAGACTGCATTTGGGTTATTTATGAGCCAGGCCCTTGTCGTGCTAAGAGTGATGGAGGCGGTCTTACTTGTTTTGAGTGGGATTCTTAATGGCTTATATAGCAATTTAAATAAATTCATAACTTATGTCTTCTGAGTTTATCAAAAAAAAAAAAAAAACTTATAGCTTCTGAGTATTTCATATAGTATCCATAACTTACAGAGAAATCACGAATTTATCTCCCAAGAAAAAACAAAAAATGAACTAACACCTCCACGTACTTGGCCACAACTAGAGATTTCATTTCACCATTTGGCATTTTGTGATAATAATTTCAGCTACCTAGTAGAGTAAAACAAGAGCAAAATGGACAAATATGGATAAATGAAATGAAAAGACAACAACTGTCATAGTTTGTAAGAAATCATAGATCAATATTGACACATGCTATTTGCAACATTTGCACACAAAGCGTGATCATCAGTTTTATTTTGGTGTACATAAATTACTCTGCCTAATAGTAACCCACACATAATATTAAAAACTAACAAAAGAAAATGTCACAAGATAATATAGGTTTTGTATGAACTGCGATACGTTGATGTTGCCTTATATTTAATTTGTTTAAAATTTTTCTACATGCTAAGTTTATAATTTTCTCCCACCCGAAGTTTTATATATTTGTTATATCATTAGATGAGTATATCTATAATCTATGTTGGATATATTATGATTGACAAAGTTGAAACTTGAAAGCAAACGCAATTAAACGACAATTATGACATGTATTGTATAATAGAATTGCATACAAGTTTACGGATGCCGTTAATACTAACTAGCTTACTATATGATCACTTCACTGTCTTCACAATTACGACTCACCAAACAAAAAAAATAAATCTAATGTTGAACAAACCCATCTAACCTAATTTAGTACACCGTAAGGCGAAAATGACACACGTCTAACGTACGTCTTAATTAACCTAATGTATCGTGTTATTTTACTTTACTTTCGACAAATCATTTTGTTTTAATATATTTATGCATATGAAAACAGGACATAACTTAGAATGAATAGTTTCAAAACAAATATTTTTATGAAATAATTAAACTCATAATACTCTACTTTGCCAGTAAAGTTTGATCATATATAATTAATAGTTTTATTTTCCGGTACGGCAGATCAAGCTTTGTTTTGTCAATCGACACTAGGAATAACCACATTTTATTGTGTACTGTAATTAAAGTTGGCAAGTCGATTCTAAGCTACACCAACAATTTTTTATTTATTTATTTAAACAATGAATGAATACGACAGTGAAACGTAACCAACAGAAACAAAAACTAACCAACAAACAAAACACAAAATGAAGTAAAATATCAGAAAATCTTAATTCAAATATGATGCACAGAATTCAACAGGAGAAGATGTATATATAAAACTAGGTGGACTAAAATTTCACAAAACTTTGTTTTCTTGTGTTTGTAGCTATTTACTTTACTCATGTCCTTACATCTCCAAATATAAATCATAAAACTACAAGAATGTATGTATATTTGGTTATATACGGACTTAGTGTATAGATGTCTTTTTAGCTTAATTATGTGTGTAAAAAATTTTGTACATATAATAATAAAATATGCTGTTTTACTTTAATATGGTATCAGAGCAACTCCAACAATCAAAATAGAGTTTGTTTATGCCACTGTTTCTCATTCTTCGATCTCGCCGATTATTTCATAAAATCTGTTTTGCGAGCTTCGATCTCACTGATCATTCATTTCATATAAAGATTTGTGATCTAATTTGTTATTGTAATATTTTCTTGGAAGTTTTTGTAGAAATTGTGGGATCCACATGTGTCACTTTTTAAAGTCTGATGTGACCTTTCTGATGAGATGCCACCGTGCGAAAGATTACTACATAACAGTCTGTGCCACAACTTTACCTTTTTTTTTTCACCTTAAACAGTTACTTTCCAGATTCAAGTTTCGTTATCTCGGTTTGGTTTAAGCCTGCTTCTGATATAAATCTTTTTTCAATAATCTTGTTTCACAAAATTCATTATATTCGGTTTAGTTTGATACTTTGATTTCGTTGTTTTCAATAATGCGATCAAAATCCAAAAAAAAAAGATTTAAGTTCAAGTCATTACGTTCTGATTTGATTTACACTTGCACATTAGTTTTACTCGGTTTATTATCATCCTTGTTTAACTTAGCAACTTAATTAGCACACCCCATTAATTGATATACAGATTTTCTCAATAAAATTAATATTCATATGAAAGTTAGCAAAATACATTATGAAATGTAGACATAATAAAGACTTTTTGCCTCGACTTGTAGCACACCCTAAAGAATATTTTTCCTATCTTTACTTTTTATCCTTTTTGGGTCTTTTTAACTTTTTTTGTTGCCACAGCTTTGGCCCGAGTGGGTTTTTCTCTTTGGTCCCTGTTTTTTTTGAAAGTGATGATGATATAACATCAACATATTTAATGCTGGGAAAATAATTAAATTTGTGTACTGTACTAATAGTGATCTAACCCCCCCCAAAAAAAAAAATACAGAAAAAATGTCGGCCAAAGCCGGTGGGATTCCCTATTTAGTAATGCATGTGAACAATTTCAAGAATCTTTGTTTTTAAACTCTAATTTTACTATATTTCTTCTTTTTTTCTCTTCATAAGAATTGTTTTATAATTTTTTCTGGTTGTCTTCTTCTCGTGATAGAGAGGAGGACCAAACTCTATGTTGTCAGCTACTGACAGTTTACTTAATCGTATGGTTGCTAAGATGTTTTACTTTGATTTTGCATAGTTTTTTGTTATCTTTAAAAAAGTAATGTTTTTTTGGGGTTAATGTTGTTCTCATAATATTCTCTGTTTTATCCTTAAAAAAATATAGTCACTCGTGAAGGAATTTTGAATGTTTTTAAGCTCCTTGAGGAATTCTCCTATGTTACAGAGGATTTTCTTGGGAATTTCTCACACTTTCTCCTATAAATTAAGTTGCCACTTTTTTCTTAAATTAAAATCAATATTCCTTCACCGTTCCTTCATAAGTTTGCAGAGGTATTTCTTCATCTCAAAGGAAACGATTTGTCTTTTCATATCTCATTCTTCTTTTTTTGAAGAAACTGAGTTTTATTTCCCAGGAAAACAAAATTCAAAAGGTGATCTCTTGGGCTCAAAATCTTCCACCATTTACTCTTCCTGCAAGGTGTCTCAAGGAGGAGAATCTATAAACCACCTGGTGAGTTCTTCCTGTTTTTCAGGAATTCACATGCAAATTTTTTTTTTTTGTTATCTATGCCTTTATTTAGCCTCAAATTTGAAAAATGTGAGTTTTCTAGCTTCTCTATTGTTGTGAAATATATGAATGAGAAAAGAAGAAGAATCAGATCTTGAGAGTGGACCCAGTTCTGAGTTCAAAATTCAATTTTATCTTTCTCTGTTTTTCAGTACTCTCTATAAATGTGATTCATGAATTTAATGTCTCTATCTTTGCAGGTGTTGATGATAATAATCCTTATGTGATATTATTGCTTACATAGTTGTTTGTGTTTTATGGTCTTGTGTGTCGCTATGGAGAAACACTTTTGTGGCTTGCCATTACTGCTTCTGGTTCTGCTTTTAGCCTCCATTGATGGTTCGATACAGCTTCAGTCATCTCAATGTCAAACCCTCCTGAGGCTGCAACAGCTTCTGTACTATCCTAGAGTGTTAAGCAGCTGGAACAACTTTACTGATTTCTGCAATTCCGAGCCAAATTCCTCCCTAACCATTGTATGTTATGAAGAGAGTGTCACGCAGCTTCACATTATAGGAGACAGAAAAGCTCATATGTTACCAAAGAGTTTCTCAATAGACTCATTTGTTACTACTCTTGCTAAGCTCCCTGATGTTAAAGTTCTCACCTTTGTGTCCCTCGGGTTATGGGGTCGGTTACCTGAGAAAATCAACCGTTTATCTTCATTGGAGATTCTCAATGTGACTTCTAATTTCCTCTTTGGTCCCATTCCTCATGAGCTCTCGTCGCTTGCTAGCCTTCAGACGCTTATACTCGATGAGAATATGTTATCTGGTCAGTTACCGGATTCAATTGGTTTTTTACCGGGTTTAGCTGTGTTGAGCTTAAGAAATAATGTGCTCAATGGCTCATTGCCTTCTTCACTGAGTACCTTGTCAGGTCTTAGAGTTCTTGCTCTAGCTAACAACCGGTTTGATGGAGATTTACCTGATTTAAGCCATTTGACAAACCTTCAAGTGCTTGATCTTGAAGGAAACTCTTTTGGACCGATGTTTCCTCGGTTAAGTCACAGATTGGTTACTCTTATACTCAGCAAGAACAGGTTTAGATCTGCAGTTTCAGCTGCAGAAGTGAGCTCTTTGTATCAGCTTCAACATTTGGATCTTTCCTTCAATACATTTGTCGGTCCATTTCCTACTTCCTTGATGTCTCTCCCAGCGATAACTTACTTGAACGTTTCACACAACAAACTCACCGGTCGGCTTTCAACAAATCTTTCTTGCAACTCACAGCTGATACTTGTCGATATCTCATCGAATCTTCTTACCGGAAGTTTGCCTACTTGTCTTAAACCGAGTTCCGGCACTAGCAGAGCTGTTGTCTACGCAGGTAACTGTCTGGCTACTACAAATGAAGATCAGCGTCCAGTTTCATTCTGTAGCAATGAAGCTCTTGCTGTTGGAATCCTACCACAGAGGAGGAACAGAGTATCCAAATTGGGTATTGCCTTGGGCGTAACCGCAGGCATTCTCGGTGTAATTCTCCTCGCCGGTGCATTATTTGTGGTTCTTAAGAGATTTGATGCTAAGAGAGAAGCAACGAAAGCTTCTCCAAGATTGATCAAAGAGAATGCTTCAATGGGATACACATCAAAGCTACTGTCAGATGCAAGTAAGAAGACCAAACATCTCTCATATATTGTCACACTTTTCCACATATCCAAATGAGTTGTATTGATTACTTGTGGTTTTCTGCAAATACTTTATAGGGTATATCTCTCAAACAATGAAGCTAGGAGGACTCGGTATTCCAGCTTACAGGACATTCTCATTGGAAGAGCTTGAGTATGCCACAAA